TCATCCACATGACGTGCATAAGACCATTTTTCGCACTCACAATGGACACTATGAGTATTTAGTGATGCCTTTCGGCTTATGCAAAGTTCTTTCAACTTTTCAAGCATTGATGAATACAATCTTCTGGCCACATCTTTGTAAGTTTGTCCTTGTATTTTTTGATGATATATTAGTTTACAGCCCCTCATGGTAGGGCCACCTCCAACATGTGTACGAAGTTTTCAGCATTCTGCAACAACATCGCTTGCATGTTAAGTTCAAAAAATGTGCGTTTGGACAACAAGAACTAGAGTATTTAGGGCATATCATCTCAAGTGAAGGAGTAAAACTCGACCACGCAAAAATTCAAGCAATGTTGGATTGGCCAAGACCAACGACTGTCATGGAGGTTCGTGGTTTTCTGGGCCTAACCGGCTACTATCAAAAGTTTGTACGTGACTATGGGGCAATCGTAAGACCCCTCACAAATCTGCTCAAGAAAAAGAAGTTTCTATGGGATGAGACGACAGAAGCAGCATTCATGAAACTCAAAAGAGTAATGACAACAACGCTCACTCTTGTTCTGCCCAACTTCACTGAACCTTTTATTATCCAAACAGACACTTTGGGTGAAGGCATTGAGGTTGTTCTAACTCAAATGGGACAACCCATTGCTTTTATGAGTGAAGGACTGAGTCCTACGAAGAAAAATTGGTCTATATATGCAAGAGAGATGCTGGCCATTGTTGTTGCAATCTGTACTTGGAGGCCATACTTACTAGGTCACTGTTTCACGATACAAACGGACCAACAAAGTCTAAGATACTTACTAGAGTAGCGGGTGTTAACACCTGAACAACAAACGTGGGTGGAAAAATTAGTCGGCTATGACTATGAAATAATATACAAGTCTGGAGCTTCTAATTCAACGACTGATGCTTTGTCCCGAGTTCTTGAGAGCCCTTGTCTTCAAGGGTTGTTCATTCAACAGGAAAAGATATGGGAAGAACTATGGACAATGGCTGCAACAGATCCGTATATGCAGAAGTTAGCGACATTGGTCATACAAAGTCCTGGCAAAACATATTCTTGGAGAGAGGGTCTAATTTGCTACAACAACAGTGTTGTTGTACATCCTGTGTCCCCACTAATCAAATAATTGTTACAGGAATACCATGACACACCGAGAGGAGGACATTCTGGTGTCCTACGTACGCTCAAACACCTGTCTCAACGGTTTTATTGGCCATCTATGCATCGCTTGGTTCGAGAATATGTTGTTGCCTGTGATGTTTATCAGCAGGCAAAGTATGAATCTCTCTCACCGGCGGGACTACTTCAACCACTGCCTATTCCATGTCGGATATGGGAGGATATCTCCATGGGTTTCATGGACGGGTTGCCAAGATCAGACGGACATAAATCAATTATGGTGGTTGTTGACAGGTTAAGTAAATTTGCTCATCTTGTTCCATTGACTCACCCTTACTCAGCTAGGCTTATTGCTTCCAAGTTTGTGGAATATGTGGTTAAACTCCACAGAATACCGTGATCAATTATAAGTGACAGAGACCAGGTGTTTGTCAATAATTTCTGGCAAGAATTTTGGAGAGTGTTAGGGCCTAAACTATGACTGTCATTTGCCTACCATCCTCAAACTGATGGCCAAATAGAGGTGGTTAATCGATGCATTAAACAATATCTGCAATGTTTCGTTCATCATCGACCAAAGCAGTGGAGCGCTCTTCTTCCTTGGGCAGAATACTGGTATAACATCACGTTTCATTCATCTATTGGTATGGCACCTTTCCAAGCCTTGTACGGCCGGACACCACCACACATTCTAACATATGAAACAAGCTCTACAACAGTGGACGAGCTGGATGCCCAATTAGCAGCTCGCGACGAGCTACTTAGCAAACTTAAACAACATTTAGCGACAGCAAACAATCGAATGAAACAACTTACTGATTCCAAGAGGCGAGACGTCAGCTTCAACGTTAGCTTCAACACTAGCGATTGGGTCTTTCTTCACCTCCAACCTTATCGGCAGCAATCTTTCTTCCGTCAGACATCACATAAGCTATCAAACCGATTTTTCAATCTATTTCAGGTGGAAGAACGCATTGGACAAGTGGCTTACAAGTTGAAATTATCGGTGGTGTCGTGAATTCATCATGTTTTCCATGCCTCTCTATTGAAGAAAAGAATAGGGGCAGATCCACCAATCGAAGGGAAACTTCCACCTCTACGAGCAAACGTAAGTTTGCAATTAGAGCCGGAGAAAGTGCTAGAAACACGATGGATGAAGATAGAGTCTAAGTTCAAGTTAGAACTATTAGTGCAATAGAAGGGCTTCTCTGCCTAGGAAGCAACTTAGGAAGATGAAGAGTAGTTGCGTTCTAGTTTTCTTGACCTGAACCTTGAGGACAAGGTTCTTACTGATGGAGGGAGTATTGATGCAAACTGACCGGTTCGATTCAAAAAACCCAACCCAAGATACCTTAACTAAACTGAAATCAACTGGGTCAAAGGGGGGCAAGGATTTCGATATTTCACTACTTTCAATAAAAGAGGAAGAATCGGTCTTACCTTGTTTATCGGAAACTGATTTCCCTCTACGCTTTATTTTCTTGTTTGTAGGATCACTAGGTGGTTAGTTATTTCTTTTGATGTATTTATAGACTTAAAAGTCTGATGAATAAAACAAGTATTTTTTTTTTTGCAAAAACCATTGTTACCTTTAAGTTCTTGACTAGGACCATCATAGGTGCAACTATCAAACTAGCAGATATTGTTGTAGCATCAAAATCATCCTTTCTTTGAATGATGTTAACTTGACCTTGTATCTCATACAACACTTGGCAAGAATTAAATTGGACTTGATTAAACACAATTAAATTCCTAGCCTTCAACATTGAGTCCAATGCTACTACAAACATTGTATTCCACACCTGGTTTAGATCATTCAGATTGGCATCCAGCCAATGTTTCAGTTGCATATTAAAGAAATCACCACGTAGAACTCTACTAGATAAGTTATGCCAAATTATATTAATGAACATACAATCCTAAAGGATGTCGAGAGATGCTTCACAAATTGCTACACATAACGCCTAGGTAGCATTTGTCGTTAAGCCTCTAAAAAGCTTTCACTCATTTGAACATAAATTATCATAAGCAATCCTCTACAATAGATATCTACTAAGTTTAATTCCTTCCATTTCAAAATTGAATTAAATAAATGACGTGGACCAGTAATAAATTGTGATCGAGACACCTTATAAGCATTTTTAATTGAAAAGTGACCATATGAAGATCTTCCCTATACCAGAATATCTCTGTCATTATGAGCGAAAAAGGTCCAACACCTCTTATCTCATGTAAAACTGTCACTAAAATTAGTTCACAAACTGACTCCAAATTCTAATCTCCATTTCCATTTATATACTCAATCACAACTTCATCCTTTTCCATACAGCTACCTTAACAAGAAATTAATGAGAAGGTAATCAGCTATCAATCTAGTTCTACTATCACCAATGTTCCGAGTAACGAAAGGTTTAAAGATATAAAAAATGCACCTTATAACTTAAATTTTGAAATAATAACCCATACTTGTAAAATTAAAAAAATTAATAAAATTATATTTCTTTAAAGCTTTTATAAAAAAATTTAACCATTAGTTTATTAAATTTTATTTTTTTAAATACATTTTTATTTTGTAAGAGTCCAATAATTTATCATAGTATTAGATTCAAAGAGTAATTTAAAATTATGTTAAATATTTGACTTATCTGCAACTTTTTTTTCCTACTTTTAAATATGCAATTTTAGTTATCTTAATTTTTTTTTTGCTAATTTAGTTATCTTAATTTTAGTTGGTCATGTTTATTTTTTAAATTTTTTAAATGTTTAAATTAAATCATTCAGTTTAAAATTGAGTTTGTTTTATTATATTTGATATATTTATTTTGTATTTTAATTTAAATGTTTTGTACTTTTATTCTTTACTTATTTGTATAAATTAATGAAATATTATATTTTTCATTATATTTATATTAACTATTAGGTAACATTTTGTGACGATGAACTTAATTTGAATAATTTAAAAAATTATAAAAATTAAATAAATAATTAAAATTATATAAACCAAGATCACACATGCAGTAATAAATAAAAAAATATAATTAAATATAAATATTTAATCGTGAATGAAATAAAAAGCATGTCAGCAATAATAAGAGTTGTAGTTTTATTATTTATGCTAATTTTTAATGTACTTAAACTGTGGTAATTGTTTGCAATTATTTAATATGTGCTTTTGAAAGAAAGAATGCGTGTTTTGATGCCAACGTATCAACTATACTTTTGCATTGGCTTGATTCTATCAAATTTAATTTAATAACAATCCAAATCTTAATTACACAAATTAAGCATCGCTGTTCATGGAGTGATTTGATATATAGCCAATTAAAATCAATCATAAACTAATAATAAAAAATGGATTATGCTACTGGTTGATTTAATAATCTTTTTTTTTTTTAATGTGGATTGAATTTAATTTAATTTGGATTTATAAAACTGAATATTTTGCACATCCCGCAAATAATTTGCAATGATTTATTGAAAGAATCGATTATTCCAGAACAAAAAACCAATCACTGTAATCAAATGTGCATCAATTTAATGTGAATCTCGTAACGTCAAAGTAAAACAATACATTAGACTAAATTTTGATCCCATTTTAAATAGAATTATTTCCATAAAAAATACAAATAAAAGTATTTTTATGCTTCAAAAACAATTACTTAAGAAAAAAAAAACATTTGGAAACAAAAGATCTACGGTCACTGTTTCACATGACCGCAATCGATGACACGCGTCAATTTCAAACGAACTTGATCAAATTTGGCGTACCCAGCAACAATAGATGCACATGCACCATAGAGGAACCCTCTCTCCCTCTTCATTTTTCTCTCACAGTTTCTTACAGTGCCATATTCAAACACTCAGCTACACTCGCTCCTATCAAAACCCTACCATCGCTCCCATTTTCCGACGACGATGGCCGCCGGCATGGACATGTCGCTTGACGACCTTATCAAGAGGTCCTCCGCCGCCGTCGCCGCTCGCCGGCGATCCAACCATTCCGGTCCTGAGCGCCGGTTCACGGTTCACAATGCGGGCAGAACGACGCCGTACGGCATCCCTCAGGTGAGTTAGGGTTCGATGATGAAGCAAAGACGAGGTTGTGTTGACTAACCGACACCGTTTTGATTGGCAGGTAAGGCAAGTGTGGCAACAGAGCATGGTTACGGGAATGGTTTTGGGTGAGGACGGTGCCACTAAGACTGAAAGCGGCGCCAAACTCTATATATCTAACTTAGATTATGGGGTTTCCAACGAAGATATTAAGGTATTATTATTATGATGATGATGATGCCCGCATCTGCGTATTGTTCAAAGTTTGTACCTGTGTTGATGCAGAGAATGTCGCCACTGTTTGCTATGTATGTAATTAGTTTTGTTATCTTTGTTAAATTAAATATCATTTCTGATAACAACCATGTCAACAGGGGTTGTTTGGGTAAGAGGATTATGGGAGAAAAGTGAAGAAATGATAATTTTTTTGAAATAAATCATACATATATAATCAACTGTTGTGATGGTGGTGATATGGATGATGACAGTAGTGATGATGATAGTAGTGACCGCTAGCGGCGCAATTGATATGGTGGTGATAAAAATCCTTATGAATGATTTGTTTTTACAACTAAAAATGAAAAATTAAAACTATTTGTCTTGTTTTAAAAACTGAAGTAGAACTGTTTTGAAATTGAGTTAGAAATCAATTTAACTTCATTTAGTTGAAATATTTGATTTTAAATTTTGTATTTGAAAATAAAAAAAACTGAAAACTCAAATCACTGCAAATGGTCATAAACTTGTTTTTGTTTATCTGTTTTTAGAAACAGAATTTTGAAACCTGTTTTTAAACCACTAAACACAAACAAACTCTTGAAAACTAGCCCATCTTTTTGGTGAGTCAAATAATTTAAAGAATTGAAAACTCTTGTCTGTGATGTACAGCTGCTCTTCGCTGAAGAGGGTGAGTTGAAAAGATACTCCGTTCATTATGACAAGAGTGGGAGATCAAAGGGAACAGCAGAAGTTGTCTTTGTGAGGCAGTCTGATGCTTTAGCAGCCATCAGGAAATACAATAATATGAGGCTTGATGGAAAACCATTGCAAATTGAGCTTGTTGGAACAAGTTTGGTTAATCCTACTGTTGTGCCGCTTGGTCAAAGTAGCTTACTGGGAAAACCAAATGATGATGTCATTGTAAGGTGTGAAATTCCCATTCCTGATCTTTCGAGCTTCAGTTCTATATATTTCTTCATTTATCTAGTCTGAATAGTGAAATGTGTAGTATCCTTAAAATCCTTTGAAATACTCACTAACTTTCATTTAAACTTTGCACTCGACCACTTGTTACATGAAATAGTCAATAACTTACATTTATGATTAGGTAGTTCTTGGTTCTGAGTTTATGAGATTGGAGCCCCTTGCTCTCATATGTAACTGTGATGCGCCATGGAGTTTTGCTTATACATGGCCAGGTTTTATTCTCCACGTTCCTTTTCTTAAGTATTACTATTAATAGCAAGTTCTGTACTACTTTTTTGCAGCGAACGAGGAAGGGTTGGAGGGAGCAGGTTCCACAGTGGCATAGGAAAAGGTCACCTTCCAAGGGATCATATAGAAGAGGACGATACTCGAAAGACATCTTTTGGAGATCTTGATCATAACTTGGAGAGGTATCACCGCTTTCCGAGGGGCCACGCAGAAGTGAAGGGCCATACTCGAAAGGTGTCTGTTAAAGATCTTGATGATGACTTGGAGAGGTATCACTTAGAGGCTATGCAGAAAAAAAATGGAAAGTGAGATCTAGGTCTGAAAAGCATACGATATTGCATAATGGTAAAGGGTCTGGGGGTTCTCATTTCTAAGTTTTGTTGCAAATTTCACGTCTACTGTACATAATAGTTTGCTATTGGTACATTTCGATTTCAAAACTTTCAATAGATTGATACCTCTTTGGTTCAAGACTACGAACTATTTTTTGCCAGCTAAAGCCGATATCTTCGCTGCTGTGTATCTGTTTTGGGTATTTCAGTGGAGATACAGAAAGATCCATGAGAATCAAATTTGCCATCGCACAATGCTTGAATGTCGTATATTAATCAGATTAGAAGAGATATGCACTGCTATTTATTGGATATAATATATAGATAAATTTCATCTCACTATCATGCCATATTATACCATTAGTAGAGTTCACATTGATTTTTTTGGATGAGAGAAAAGATAAAGAAAAAAAAGTATGAATATTTTTTTCATGTTAAAATGAATATATATATATATATATATATATATATATATATATATATATATATATAAATTTATCGATAGTTTTAAAATTTAAAACTCTCTCCCCTTTCATTTTCTTCAGTTACAAAGGGTAAATTTGAATTTGAAACCTCAATATTTTTGTTTTTGAGTAATGTTATTTTTAACACCCAGTTTGAGTGTTTCCATACCAGACACCCTATCTAATTATAGTATAACTATTTCTTAATTTTTATAATATTTTTGGTATAAATATTCAAATCAAGTGTTAAAATAATATTATTCCTTATTTTTAGAAACTTTGTTATGTAAGATAAAAATTAATGCATAAAATATTTTAGAATTTTCTTAAATAAAAACTCTATAATTTGTAAAAATATTATTTACGAATGTATAAAAATAAAACTTTCATAAATATGAAGAAAATTTTATTAAAGTCATTAATAAAGTTAATATATATATTTTCATGAAAATAAAAATTAATTAATAATAATTACATTATGCTTTTAGAATAGTTTAGTATTAGCTTAAAATATTTTACAAAATAAATTCCTAAAATTTTTTAATTAAAATAATTTTTTATACACGAGCAAGTTACATTACACTTTTTGTTTTCATTACATTGCTGTGTGGATCTAACAGTCAATTCTATTAAAAGTGATAGAATATCACGAGGCAAACCAAACATGCACTGCACTTTTTAAACAATCAATTATTTTATAACTACGTTTTAAACTGTCATTTGCAAACGTCAATAAAATTTTGTCAAGATTTTCTTTTAGAATCAATTTTATTAAAATTGAGTTCACTAGTCCCTGAATGAATAGAATACCAGCTAATACATTACAACTCCTTGAATATTTAGAAATATTGCAAGTTATTTCCCGTCTAAATAACTTAAAAATTTATGCATAAATCGAAGAGAAGAAAGGTAACTCAGTAACAGTTTGACTAATGCAGTCAAACTTTTTACTTAACTTTGGTAGTTCCCCGAATTGTTAGTGTACTAGTAAGTTTAACAAGATAATTAGGAACATAAGTTTACATTGTGGCCAAAACTTTGGGCTAATTGCCGAATATATTTCAAAAAATAGAATTATAAAGGATTAATGAGGCTGTTTGATCAGAGTCCTACACAAAACCATTTCCATCACAAAACCCTGTATAGATCATCTACATTAGTACATAAAAATTTCTCAATTCATGTTTACAATTTTCGCAATAAAGGCAAGATCATGAAGGGGGAAAATAATTAAAATGACATATTTACAGAAAGTCAGAGCAACTTGGATGCCTCTAAAAGTAGACATCCCATTATGCCCTTATCAAAGGATTTTGTTGGACTTGTGATTATATTGACAACGCACAAAATTGAGTTCTTTCTTTTCCCATGGAAGGTCCCGTATGCCATGTAAAAAGCAAGCATAGAGGCAGCCTTCATGAATGAAAAAAAGTGAAGAAGGCTCGGTGGGAATCTAAGTCCTGTACAAAAGAAACAATCATATGGAAGTTCTGCACACATTTTGGTTGGATTGTAATGCAAGCCAGCCAGCAACTGCCTGCACACAAAATGATCTTGTCAAAACACGTCACATAAAGCCTACAAACTTAGATGTGAAATCAAATAAGTGAACTAAGTTGCTTAATGAGGGAATAACCTGATAGAACAAGGGAAAAACAAGTTAAATATGCGAAGACCTTTTATATCACAAAGTTTAGCTGGTTTATTGAGACCTACTTAGGCCAGCACTAATCAGCTCGGCTCAAGACTAAGTAGGTGTCAATCTCCCCACCAAACCAAGAGGAAAAGAGAGGTGTCTACCTGGTGGCAGACCAAGAGCATAACCGTTCAGTAGAGTCAAAATCAAGGACACTCAAAATTATCCCTTTACAGAACTCTGGCTTATCCCAGTAGTTGAAATACATGCGGAAGATGAAGACATGATGGCAGATACATGGTTCTCCAAAAGAGCAATATCACTGAAGAGATTAACAGGAATTGAGGGCATGCAAAATGTTCCTACTTCAGCTAATTACTTCTCAAAGTAATCAATTAATATTTAAGAGTTGACCCAATTCCACTGGCTCTCTTTCTCTGCCCACAATTAGACTCTGCCATGTTGAAAATCAATCATAAGTGTGTTGCATGAATAAAACATACGAAGTTAAGTATGTTCTGGATATATGTGTTTCAATCTGAGCCAATTGAACGATGAATGATTTTTCCTCAGAATCAGTAGCAACAATTCCTCAAACCATGCATAGTCCTACTCCATATAATATAGCCTCCCAGAAAGTCATGCCTTGAAGATCACAGGTCAATCCCAAGATCATTTGCCAGTTGAAGTATGCCACGCATTTGAAGATATGGATTCTCTAACAGTTTTTCATTGTTACTCTGCATTGCAAATACAAAGCATAATCATATAAGTGACAAGTTACTATTAGATCAACAAACATCTAGAAATTTTAACAAAAGAAAATTACTTTTATTTGAAGAACACAATATAATGAACTGTATAAAGTTTCTAGTGTCTTTTTGTATAGAACAACTTTATAGAGGCAAGAATTGTAAGGTGTCTTAGGTCCAGGCTCAGCCCTAAGAGTAGTTTAGAAGTGCGACCGCTAAGAGCCTAAGCTTGAAAGGAACCCAAAGTAAAAACTGTGTTTTGCATTCATGTGGAAACAAAATTCTAACTTTTAATTGCAGTTTGTAGTTAGAAAAAAAATAGAAAAATAAAAAAGATCCTTCAATTTATTGCATCTCACTTGCCCATAAATGTAGTCAACTCTTATTTAATTTTCAAATTCTACTATTCTTACCATTAGAGCTCATAGAGAATTTTAGTTTTTTCCAAAAATTAAACAGTTCTTGAGTTTGTCAAATCTACAAATTACTATCCAAATGTTTTACTCGCTTATAAATTTTGTTTTACAGTCCCAAAGACTAGCATCAGCTGAGAAAAAATTTTCAAAGCTAAAATTGATCAAAACTTACCTACGGTCATCAATATCACAAGATCGGTTAAATGATCTTGTAATTTTATCGATTAAGAAGGAATTTTTGGAAAACATTAATGTTAATGTTATCATTAATGACTTTATATCTCAAAATGTTCATAGAACCCATTTTTGATAATTTTTTTATGTTTTTGTAGTTAATTATAACATAGAAATTGTTTGAATGAAAAAAACATTTTTTTTGTAATTTTATTAGAAAAAAATTGTATTCACTTAAAAAAGTCATTATTTTAATAGAATTATTGGCATATGCTTTTATTTTATTTTATTACATTTTATAATTTTTTGAAATAGTTCTAATTTTCTATTTTGCCTAGGGTCCTAAAAAGGTCAAGAACGGGTCTGTTCAGGTCAGAATTAGTGCATGTTTGGATTAGCTTTGTTTAGGGAAATAATCACTTACTTTTTAAAATCCCTCTTATAAAACTGTGAAAAATAAGTGATCAATTGCTCAAAACATAATGAACATAACATGTACTACATTTGTAAATTGTAACAACTCAAACATTTGCTCATAGCACCATTTCCACAGGGGGCATAACTTTCCCACATGGGGAGACTTTCCAAATACTATTCATTAACTTTTATATATTTCTGCATGATCACTTAGTGGGCTTAATCAGCTCAGCATGAGTAGCATACCTATGTCCTATGTCGAGGTCAGAGTCCATTTCTGCGCAAAAGGTATTAGGTAATAGCCATACAGATCTATAAGTGAACACCAGCAAACTTATATTGATACGGATATGGTCCTTTATTAAGAAAGAAACAAATGAGTAAACATTTGACTGCCTTATCACTAGAGGATAACATCAGCAATTGAATTCCATACTTTCTCTCTAGGAAGTATTGTATTTCTCATTGAAATTATTGGGTGTATGAAAAAGGAAAAAAGGGGCAAGGGATTCCATATAATATACGCATAAGATATGATACCGAAAACACTAAACTTGATGCTCCTATTTATACTAATAACATAAGCCAAGTATTACAATACCATGACTAGTACAAAACAACAAACTCATCCCAATAAGACTACTAACATGACTCTTAACACATGAATAAACCTAATATTCTAATGCGATTCATTCCTTGCAAGCATGATCTCAAAATTGTCATTTTAACCTAATTTTCCACTGGAACTGGGCACCATCTCCAAAAGCCAAATTGTTACCATTTTTGTGTTTAATCAATGATAATCATGACAGTTATATATAGAAAGAGAAATTGAAAATGAAGCCCATGTAAATACATTAATATGTAATCTCAGCTTTATAAGTAGTATAAGCCTATACGGACTTCAAGCAAATCATTAGAAAATGAAGGTACCTGTTGAGCCTTAACAACAAGATTCTGAAGCATGTTTTGATATTTCTCTGGCTTCTCAGTCATCATTCGCTGCAGTAATGAGAAATAATTACAAAAGATGAAATTTATGGTTCTGATGCATATATTTTCAATACCAAAAATCAATTAAAATGCATACCTTCAGAAGAAAAGCAGAAGAATAATATGCTACTCTTGAATCTGTGTCATCCAAAAGTGCCCTGTAAGATGCAAGAAGACTCGTACTTTATATGCCAATTTATAAACTAAGAAAGCAAGCTAACTAATTTACAAAGAGCATAGAAGTTTGGAATCACCTAAAAAATTGTTCCTGACCAACCTCCTGGAAAGCTCGAGGATCTGCTGTGCATTTACCAATAAGTAGTAGAAGAAGTGTGGCCCGAATATCAGATGTAGCACCAGGCAGGTTTCCTCTTCCTTTACTTCCAACAGCAACACCCAATGAAATATCATCTGTTGCTGCTCCAGCCAACTGAATTAGTGGCCAATATAGCAAGGCAGCAGGGACACGTGCAATTAATTGCATTGGGACAATGGCTCGTCCTTGGAAAAGTGCTGCCGTTGAAGTAGTCTGATGATCCAGGTGGTAGTTATTAGGGTAGCCAGATCTTCTATGAACTTCTTCCTTGTTTTCATCCCAGTAAAAAGAATCTTGTTTGACAACATGATTAATAGTGCGATTTAAAGTTCTGCGATGTTGCACATCATCTCCAAAGGGAAGAGCTGCAGCAGGAGGAACTCTTAGGCACAATTGAGAGAACAATATGTCACACATCTGTTTAGAAACAGAGAAAGAGTTGAGCAATATAGGAAATGAATGATAAATCAAACAATATTTAAATAGAAGCCCCAAACATTGCTCCATTCCAAGGAATCTTTAAAAAAATTAAATTTAAAATTATTTAGAAAAAATCAGTTACGATATCAACTAATCTTTCAGCAACTAAACTATCAGTGATTTCAGACTTTTTAGGAATTTAATTTTTATAAAGTACTTCTCCAGTTGATAAATAAACTCATTTCAGAACATATCATAAAAGACCATGCTATATCAGCTGTTTACTAATAAACGAAGGATGACCAGAGGTTTCTTAACAGTTCCTCAAACAATCCAATTAGCAAAGTATGGTGTTCTCTCTCTTTGATAAGATGAAAAAGCAAGCAGATTTGCTAGCCACATTTTTTTCAAAACTAGTGTGGATTGCCATGTTTTTACAAATATTTCATGTTATGAGCATACTATCAAAAGGCATTTTGAGTTCAGAAATAATTACTTTCAGAATATTGATGCGATCTGTTTCATTTATCTGAAACACCAAAGACAAAGCACTGCTCATTATGTCAATTACTGCATTGGCTTTCTCTAGATGCCAATCTTTCTTCCCATGACCCAGATCTCTGCTGCTTGATAGTTGCATTTCATACTCATCTAACAAAAATTTGCATCTCATGAGAAGCCTTTCAAGAACAAACAAAAATCCCCATCTAATGTAGTTGTATTTTGACTTTAAAAGGCCACACATAAGTAAAATGGGCAAAGGAACATCTGCCGTATTTAAAGAATCTTGAATTCCAGCTTGAGCAATTTTCTGCTGGAAGTATTTGATACTCGTCCATATATTCCCATCTCTTTCGCCACTAATTTCTGCAATAAGCAGGTCCCCTAACCAGATATACCCATTTTGACGGTAAGAAATTCTTTCAGAATGAATAAGGGAATGTAAAGTTGCCCATGACTGCTTTGCCTGCAAACCAATGCCATTTCTCATAACCACACCTTCCACATTTTCCATAAATTTGAGAGATTTGGTTATCTGAATCATATGAGAGAACTCTTTGTCCAAATGAGTGAACGAACTTATTATGGCATCAAATTTCTCTGCTACAATTTCCAGTAGCTGTAAAGATTGAAAAAAAACAGGCAATATTCAAATGAATATATACAGATTAAATGGGGTTGTTGTAATTATGGGGTCAAATGAATTTATGAATGTAAAATAAACCTATATTTAAACTAAACAAGTGAAGCATTCATTCTTATATCATTTACTGAATTAGAGCACACAGTATGGTAAAGGTAGATGCAACTCCTTTAAAACAATTAATTGTCTGGCCTCTGTCTTCCTTTTAATAGGTTATTTGCACTTGCAACCAATGAATATTGCAATGAGACGAACAAATACTGATGAAGTATCTTAAATGGATAAAATAAATACATCTGTTAATCATTGCTACCAAAACAAAACCCTCAAATATGAAAATTTAATTTAGGGATGCCATCCACTGGGTAAGAATTTACAATAGCCTAAAAAAAATCAACTCCATGTCTTAAGAAAGAAATCTTTATTAGTAATAACATGAAAGACATTAATATTACTAAAAGAACTTAAATGTTCCACCATACATTACGAGTATAATAAGTGTAACACAACTTCCAAAATATTGCTGATGCCAACTGAAGTATATACAAATTTAACAAGTTTAAGACAACAAAATTGTGAAATAATTGTACTTCGCATTTACCTTTTTTTCCTACATTGATTCCATAAACTTAGGTTTTTTTAGTAGCATAGCCTCTTCTATTTACCGAAGGAATATAAAGCTATATACATAACCTTGAGTAGCACTAGATAAACTCTTGCATGTTTTCTCCAGAGTCCAAACAATTAAATGTTACCCAACTTTACAAACCAATCCAAGTTGAAATTTTTTCCTGTATGCTTTACAAAGAAACCTGTCTTGTAGATTGGTAACATTTAAAAAACCATTTGGACTTGTTAAATAAATCCACCAGCACACATAAAAGACGTTCACCAAAGGAGGGGGGAGAATTCATGAAAAAGAATAGCCCTTAAACTATTAAGCTAACAGACAAGAAAAAAAAAACATGGAAGTACCGTATTTAGTCGTTCACTGTTAGGATATCTGGACAGTGCTGATGCAATTGATCTTCTGAGAATCTCCCCAATGCCTTCTACCCCAAGTTTAACAGAAATATAAAATGCCTCGGGCGCATTTGTTTGAGCAAGCAGAGCAGCAAGAGGTTGGATCTCATCATCACTATATTCATTGACACCAGTTGCTATGCATGTTTCATTGATTTGATGCAGAATATAATCAAAAAGCACTGAATACAGATTTTTCCTCTCTTCTCTTGAGTTTGCAAGGGAATACTGCATCCAGCATAGCAAAAACCAGAGGGAAATCATACAAATTGAAACAAACACAAGGGGAACTCCCCACTTTACAGAATAAAACACACACACTCAACAGTTCTTTGAGGGACTGCTCTTAAGCCAAAGCCCCTAACTCTCTCACAATTGACAAGCTGATCTCTCTCTACCAGGACAAGCCAAGGGCAACATGCCTTATTGCTTCTACAATCTCAGCCTGCCCAACTACTAACTGATTCAAGCTAACTAACTAATTTATTGAAACTAAATAATAATGGGTCTCTACCAAGCATATCATAACTAACTACTAACAGGAGTTCCCTAACATATTCATTAATAAAGGGGCAAAAGTATTGCAGTAATAATAAACTCTATCAGAGGTGTACCTAGATTGAGGTTAAAAGATATGCATACCTCAATAAAAATAAATTGAACTCCACCAATCAGATCAAGTTGATCCACAAGAAACTTTGGTTTGCTGGGTACAGACTCATCAACTTCATCAGGAACTTCATAAAACATGTTGGTTAACATGGAAACAAGCTTACAATGAACTAATTCTGCCCAAGAGTTCTCCCTGCTGATTTTTATAAGTGCCATCAGAACCTATAGGCAGATTGGGAGTAGCTAAATTAGAAAGATATCATAATTAATGACATAAAGCACATTAGTAATCAGTAACAAAGCAGTGAATAAATGGATAAATGTTTAAAAGCCAAGACTAAAAAGGCAGGATTTACAAACTCCAATAGTAAGAATTATTTCATAGCTGAGATGCTTAAAACTATATAATTACAGGTACCCTAAAGCCCTAGAACAGGAAACAAACTGTATTTATGGGTAATGAAAACACAGAATTGGAAACTAAAGAACATCTAGAGTATGGATTGGAAGCATTACAGCCTTTTTGTTTGGTTGGTTTTAAGTTCACTCAAATTCTAAAACATAATCCAAAAATAAATGTAAAAAGAAAATAATAAAAAACAATGTTTCATGTTTGGATAAACTTTTCCAACCAAGATTTGTAAATAAGAAATTAGGAAAAAAAAATAGTAGCTTGATGAGAAAATACACAAATCAACACCCCCTGTATGAATCTTCATTAGTTGCAAGGTATTCAATATTTCTAATCATACAACTTAAAGTATAATGCTCTAACACACACACACAGTTGGATTTAAAACAGAGATGAAATATAGGGGAAATCAAAGTGAGACAATGAAGATGCAATTTTAGGATAGCAACTATCCTAAACTAATGCCAATCACTTGTTCGCAATGAAATTCTAAGGCTGGTGACAAAGAACAAAGTAATTGAAAGAAATGACATGGCATGACAGATAAGAAGGTGCTTAGGGTTGAAAGTTGCCATTTATTATGAGAATAGCATAAATGAAATGCACTATTTGCAATACTGCCACTGTGACAACATGGTTTACAAAAACATAACAAACATGTTCTAGTTTTCAGTTTCCAAAGCACCTGATGCCCTTTTGGTTTTGAAGTGTTTGAAACAAGCAATCAAAAAAGTTTTACTCTGCTTTGTTTTCAAAAACAGCACAAACAGGCTCTACTTTTTCCTTCTCTTGTTCTATTGTTATTTTTTATTTTGTTTACTCAGTGGAACAATATTCATTATTATTCTTTTTTAGTGGTTTCATTCAACAAAATATCTCCCCACCCATGCTTTCACTCTCTTAAATAGAAATCTTAATTTTAGCTAGAACTAAGAAGGAAACTTTTTTATTTCCCTAATTGGTCCACATCCGCTCCCCCAACTCGCCCTTCTGATCTCCCAAAGAAGCAAAACATTATCCAGAAGAATACAGTATGAAACAAAAATGGAATTTCCATTAAATATTGCTAGAGTGCAACAGGAAAGAGGGGAACATTATTTCTCACCCTTATGTCGAGACCTAGTAAACGATTTCTCCAGATCTTTCCTCTTTCGCAGACAAAATAAAGCAAACAGCTGAGTGCAGATGCCCAAACAGATTCCTCCTGTTCTTCAGTCTGCATAAAGCAATTGATAAGCAGAAATGTTATGATAACAGCATGATTCGGTTATGTTAGAAACTTATATGACATAATTGTCTTGAGAAGCTTCATATGAATTATTTGATATAACTCTTTTCTTAACCCTCCAAGTAGAGTACCAAGACAAGCAAATTAGTAGTACATCTTTTTTTTTTTTTCAAGTAATTATTTCAACAGTTGCTTTCACTATCTTACAAGTTTATCAAGCATTAGGGTACCACCTCTGACTACAATTATCCAGATGGGTAAATCATCTAGAAAAAATTTGAGAATTATCTGATCAAAAAGCACTATTTCTTGACATACAAATATGTTACAAAACAGCACCTGACAGACCAATCATCGCTTTATATACTCCCTAGCACATGCTACAATCACATTACAAATTCATCTAGTATAACTATCTAACTTCTGAAATAAAGCCACAAATTCCCTGGTCTCAATGCTGTAAAAACTGCCGTTTTGTCTTGTATTCTTATTCTCAATCCATTCAAAAATGCCCTGTTCTCATTTTAGTTCTCCAATGGCAAAACATCCACATCATATCATGTATAACAGAAATCAATATATTGTTAAGTGTCAAAAATAAAATATTGACACCTGTCAAACAGACAATCCCAGCCAAGAAAATTATTAAGAAACACAAGCAATAATCTTGTTCAACAATTTCTTTTTCTGATCAATGATACCTGAACAAGAAGAAGTAGTATCTCATACAGAATAGCTAAAATCCAAGACTCAAAATTATCAATTGAGGAGCCTGTCTCTGATTTGTTCTGAGAATATCCTTTTTTGCTTCCTGGCTCCATAACTTGAGTGTCACTTTCATAATAGGATTCTTGAGAATATTCTTCTTCAATAGTAGAAGTATCATCTACAATAATCGGTTCTAGGAGATGTGCATGAACTCCAAGGTTTAGAATTAAATCAAAAGCACGAACCCTGCAAGCTGTTTTAGAAGAACTAAGCATTTCCTGAAAGATGCATTTGAAATATAAATTAGTACCAAAAAAAAAATTACAAATGATCATATCAGAGAAAAGGTACTTTATTGATGCATCACCTCAAGCATAGAAAGAATGAGAGGAGCAGCTGTCCGAGAATCTAAAACATACCTACAAAATAATAATTTTATGACCATCATACATAATCGATTCGCATAACAGCGTAAAACCATAGAAATGTGAACAGACAAGTTCAATCAATCAGTTGGCCAGAAAATTAATCTGTGGTTAAGGAATCTGCCTCTGAACAGGATATCCTAAGTTCCTAACCCTAACATTAAAAATCACAATGCTCAAAGTTTTGAAATACCATGTAACCATATCTCAGCAATGCTTTCATGTAATAAAATATCAGCGATAGGTTATTCAGCAAACCAAACTACTATCACATGGACATTAGCAAAATACCAGTCAACAAGTTATACATCTGTACACCTCAATAAAATCCTCCATTCTTATTGTAAAACCATTGTCATAAAATTAGTTCCTTCAATAGTGAAGGGAACACACCTGTCTCCCCATTGATAATAAACAAAATTTCCAGATTTGTGGAGGATGGTCAATGTTAGGTTTCAGGCATGAGTGCTGAATTTCTACTCCTCGTACATGAACCTATAGTATATTATAGGTCAAACCATGTTAACTCTGCATATTTTCTTCTCCCTCTGTTAGCACACCTAGTTACAACACCTTCTAAGCATAAGATTCCTCAAAGTCATGCCAAATGGCAAGAAGTTCTAGGCTCTGACTGGTGTTTGGAATATATTTTTACTTGGGAAAGGGGAAATAAAAAATATTGATTAATCTGAAATTTTAACTCACTTATTTCTGTCAAAATAGGCAATAATCCCATACCATTTTTCTTTGATATTCAATATTATTCCTCCTATTTCCTCTACTTTGAAAATTAATTCAACTCATCCTAGTTTAAAAGTAGTGAGATCATGAAACTCACAAAACTTCCAAGATTTTGATCATTGAAAATAAGAGAAAATATAACTTGGGTAGATGATAATGAGAAAAGGAGAAAAACATAAAAGACAACTAATTGAAACATACATGTCAATAACTAGTTTAATAAGGACGCTCACAGCCACATCCGTGGATGGTTTTCCACTGTTATTACTCAGTCTAGTAGGTGCTATCCTAACATTGGTGTTTGGGGAAGAAGCCTCCGTGCAAACTGCAGCAATGACGTCCTGTACCTCAGCTGGGTTCAATCGCAGAGGTTGTTGCTCACTGGTCAGCATCAAAGAACATTTTGTGAGATGTAGAAACACAAATAAATCAATTATTAACAACTAGAGTATGATAAAAAAAAATGTAGATTTTTTTAATGAAAACACAAGCAGTATGTTACCAGGAAAGAAAAATGAGAAATTGATCAAACACAAATTTATTAAACAATTGAAAACAGAAGAAAGCATTCTACTCCAAGGGTTTCCCCTTTCATACAACTAACTAACTAACTGCTCTAGCAGTCACTAATTGCTTTTCCCCTCCCTCCTGTCCTAAACACAACCTTGTCCACCAGGTGAAAATGCAAGATCTTCCTTGCATGAGACTTCCCACTGGTCATCTCCCTGCAATGGTTCTTCCCTTACGCTTTACAATCTCTACATTCCCCCAATTGCTCCATCAAAACACTGAATCAAAGCTGACACAAACAACTCCCAGTTCATATTGGAAGCCTTCTTGTGTAAGAATCAAAACCAGCAGAACCACACTACCCTCCATACTCACAAATGCTGACTGAACCATTTCTGAGGGTTTAGTAAGCTGGACCTTAAAAAACAATGCAATCTACCCAAGATAGAACCTCTGGACCACTGCACTCTAACCCGCTCCCTTACTCATTTTCCTCGAGATGCTTGGACAAATGCTAGCTGAGACTCCTCAAACCAGTATTTCATTTGTGCTTCTGTCATCCCATTCTATGCCCTATTTATGTATCCACCTCCCTAAAAGCTGCTTGATATCATCAAACGCATCCATGTTCTGCTTCCATATCAGCTAATTGTGATTTTGGCAGATGGGACCACCTGATACAAACCTAGGAAACAAATTGATAGAAACAAACAAAAGAAACGAGCAATTTTATTGAATGACTGAGAATAGGAGAGAGAATTATCCTCAAAGGGTTTCCCTAATTTTCTGAAGGCTTCCATCCATACCCCCACCAATTTACTAACATAATTAACTATCCCTAATAATAACTTTTTCTTTCCATTCTGTCCTATCACAGTATGCATAAAATTGTAAAGAGAACAAGAAATTAAGAGCATAAACCATAAATATGAGAAGCATTAAAAGCAGAGCACAATAAACAAATGCAAATCATATATACCATAATAAATTGTAAAGTATTTGTCTTGGGATTTGGGAGTCACTTAAAGGAAATTTTGAACCTTTAAGATCAAGTAATCATTTCTTTGAAAGAAATGCTTGTTATTAAATGAATGTATTTCTTATCGCAATTTGCTCAAATTGAATAATATAAATATTCCAAATCCAAAGTGGAAAGCTATGGCAATAAGACTTCTGTGATGCAAGACACAAGTTAAAACCTTATGGCATGGATTTGCAGATGTAGTAAAAACACGTGAACATTTGTTATCTAATTCCTTTGCAGAATCTCGAGTCACCATGGTCTATACCTGTAATGCCGATATTGGAATAGCTGTCTAGCTCTAGGACGGAATGTAACCACAGGAAAATCCTCCCTGTAGAAATGGAAATGTTCAAAATAGCAAATCAAATCACGAAAAGCCTTCATCATGCCAAAGTAGTGGAAAAAATAAACAGACTTTTTACTCATCTTGTGGGTAAAGAGTATCAAACTATAGAGAGCATCTAGTGGGTAAACAGCATGATTATTCATGGAACATTTATGGTTTTTATGGAAATAAGTGATTGACAAACCAAACAGAACACTGAACTACTGCATAAAGAGTCATTTTTCTTTTTCTTTGAAGAATAAGAAGAAATTATTAAGGAAGAACAAGATTACAAGGTAACGAGTGCAGAGAAGAATACAAAGAGAAAACCTGAATTTATAAAATCAATTCTAACCCCTCTCCCCCTCAACTGATCAATTAATCAATAAGAAATTTTCCATTCATGAACATCAGGCTTCTCTAAAAATAAAATCAATTTACCCCACACATACCAATCCAATGGCAAATGTATAATTATAATTCTAATGTTAAGATTTATTTTTAGAGAAGCCTAGAGAACATGATAATATAATGCATTTGTCTTTGGCAGGCTACGGACATTTTGTGAATTATTGTTTTTAAATTTGAAGCACGTCAATTTCACAATAGCTATAAAAACTATTATGATGGTGATAGTTCGACTATCTGATACAATCATACAACATTTGGCTCAAAAGTCAAAACAATATAATCTATAAGATTTATTGTGGCATGACCTTGGATAATTTTTTTACGAAAAAAAGGCAAAATTTAGGAAAAGAAAAAAATCAATGCAAGTTGATTGAAGAACATGCCAAATTTGACGAGAGCCTGGTTTTGTGCGTTTAGATGCTGTTATTGCTCTCAGGTGGGGACGAGCAGAGTCAGAATTAGTAATAGCTGTTACAGGGGAAGACTGCAATAGCTGATCCAGGTAAGGCAAATCATCAGTTCCAAAAATTTTCCATGGTTGCCCCTTCATCTTAGATTCAATATCTCCTACAAGTAGAGCTGCTGCACCTACTTCTAAGAAACTATGTGCTGTCATGTCTTGAGAATTCACAGTGCGATCACTGCATTAAAACATGTAAAATAACAAAGTCAAATTCTGAAGCACAATAAGATGGGACAAAAGTGACAGTAAAAGCAGAGATATAAGCTATAATGGCTACTACTAAGACACCTAAACAACCAACATGAAGTATAGGTTATTACTTTTCATTCCCTATAGATGAAGACTGTGGTTCCTCAAGCCAGCGCCATTTCAGAACATCATGGGCAATGAACCCTAGTTCATCCTCTTCATCAACTTTTTCAATTTTCGATAACTTCGAAACAGATCGAGCAATTGAATCCTTCTCTAGTGCTTCTGGAACACTTGCAACACCTTTTGCTTCTGCAATACTTGCAGGACTCAGTTGGGAATTGAAGGATTTACTCAGTAAAGATGACAAAGTTGGCAGTGACTGTCCAGATGACGAAGGCGGTCCAGCAAATGAAGCTGGTTGAAAAAGCCGTTTAGGAATGTGTTGAGCCACTAGGGAACGCACATAACTCAGTGACTTGACAAGTGCCTCAGAAGCAAAGGTGGATACAGGCAAAGGAGATGTATTTATGGATGTTGATGCACCAGATTGTTGATTTGATGCTCGTGTCCATGGCTGAGTGGGGTTTATATCACATTCAGCAATTATGGTTGAACAAAAACGATCAATCTGAAGTAAAGTCTCCTCGCTTGGTTTGTATCTGTATTAATAAGTTTTGATTCTTGTGAATACTTAATGGGTAAATAGCAATAAACAATAAGGTTTATTGTCCAATATCCAGTCAAATAAGGAAAGACACTAATTATATGTTTCAGTTATTCAATGAACCTAAATAAAACACATTCAATTAATCAATGAGAGCATTGCATTGTAGAATGTAACAAAACAAGAGAAAATCATGTGCTAGCATTTTTTTGTGGCACCTTTAATCATCAACTAATGATCACCTTTGTTTCTGACTTTATTGATATCAAGTATACATAATTATTATTTACGTAAGATTGGTATAATTAAACAATAGTCTTCCTAGTTCCAATAAATAAGTACTCTAGGAGTAGAAGCTCAATGTTAGCAGAAAGTTTAGTTTACAACAACTAAGTAATGCATGCAAAGCAAAGATGCATCAAAGACTTTTTGACACTGATGAGAAGATAACTACCAATACTCTCCTTTTTTGGCACTATCTATTAAGAAAAAAATTGTGAGAACTAAAGGTGTAAATAATTTTTGTTATTGAAACACAACATTGTAGTAACATGCAACTCTATGAAATAAGGATGGAAAGAGACAGGAGAAATAGATGACTTCTCAAAGATAGAAAGTTGTGAAACTATTGAGTATCCGCTTATTTAAGTAACTAGTAACATACCTTAGGAGATACCGCTTCAAAAGTGCCACACACCTTGTGACTACAGCAGGACTGATGAAAAATAATTCAAAGTTAGAAGCCACTAAAATTAGAAAAGGTTCACATAATACTAAAAGGCAAAATGTACGAAAGAAATAGAAACAACATTTGACATGCCTAACAGACACTAAGCAGTGGCCTGAGTGGCTCATCTGAGAAAAATTCTAGCACAAGGCCAATAGCAATAGTTCAGCTAAACTCTCCATTTACAGCTATGATATGGCAGGTGTATATCAGTCCTAGTCATAAGTAGTGAAGCTTCCTACACTGTGGAGAACATTAACAGATTAGTGGCAAAATGGAACCAGATCTCGGATGAGTTGAAAGTAAAACCAGGTTCAGTCCCAGAAGCACAAACAGATAAAAGAAGGGAAGCTGTTTATCAGAAGATCCAAGAGATGAGAGGAAAATGGATTGCATGGTTTATAGCCTGTGAAAAGGGATAAAGGGATGAGTTGAAAGGAAAACCAGGCTCAGTCCCAGAAGCACAAACAGATAAAAGAAGGGAAGCTGTTTATCAGAAGATCCAAGAGATGAGAGGAAAATGGATTGCATGGTTTATAGCCTGTGAAAAGGGATAGAGGGAGGTCAAGAAGAACAATGAAGGAAATTTTTTGAAGAGCTCTCACTGTGATAAAGCTATTGTTATTGTTTTGTTGTTGTTGAAGATCCAACCATACAGACCATGGTCACAAGCAAAAAGAGCCAATGAAAAACTTAGTCCCAGGTTCGTGGCCCTCAGGCCTTGTGAAGTGCCAGACTCAAGAAAAAGTAGGACAGGTAGCATACAGACTGGAACTTCCTGACAACATGTTTTACTATCCCAATATCTCATTTTCCTCGCTGAAAGAATCAGTTTCTGCTTCTGCTTTGATTCAGTCCTTACCTGGCATGCTTCTAAAAATAGGAATCCAGGTTCAACATGGAGGTATCAAAATTCAGGATTAACCCAGAGGGAACTACGAGGGTTTGATGGAAGGACTTCCTAGATTTTCAGGGTTCATGGAAATCCTCACAGCTGTGCAAGACCAATTATATGACTTTCACCTTGAGCCTCGAGGACAAGCTGAAACCACTTGAGGGGACAAGTAGTTCTAGCAAACCACCAATTAAATAGATATGTTAAGAAACAAAAGGAAGCACATAATAGAATCTTTTACATGAATAATGCATGCTGTGTGAGCAATGAAACTAAGGAGAAGGGGTATAAAGCTGCACGTGGCAGGAGGCAGGTATGCACACAGGAAGGCTCTCAGTTACTTAATGGATAAAAGAGTGAAAGCATAAAAAAGAAGAGGCAAGCAAGGACTTAGTTGAGGGAAATATGGACAAAGGCATCTCCAAAAGCTTGAGTGATCTGTATTTCTCTTTCATCTTTCAGTATATCTTCTATATAGTTTTCTGTTGCTAGTACTGATATCAGTAACAGAGGTAATAACACGCACTACATATACCATTATCTTCTTTTTATCTAGTACAGTTTCTATCAATGTCTTAAAACAACAATTGGACAAGTCTTGCAAATGCAACACATCCACTAGAACACAGATGCATTACCTTCTTATCCAAGGAAAGAAAAATATCTCTCAGCTATTAGCACACTACAGAATCTAAATTATAAGGATTCACTCTACATGCTTCATCCAACAAAATCACTTCACCTAGTGCATGAAGTTGTCTAAAGTATATAGTAGAATAGTATTAGATAGAGCAATGGTTTTGAGAAATCTGGTAGTATCACCAGCTACCCCATGTCAACAAATAAATGTGACAATTACCTGCGTTCCCTCTCTGCAATAGTGTGTTCCAGAATTGCACTATAAGCCAAGTCTATGGTTGCAGGGCCTTTTAGATAGTCCTGCAATCATATATTTAAGCTATAAAATAAATATATTGAGTATAATGGCACCATAGTTAGCAGCCAAATGGGATTTCTGTCATGGTATGCCAAGAACGACAGGTATGCACAGAATTAAAATCTGGCTATATTTTAAGACACAAAATTATGTTGCAGATAGCAAGGACCCATGATAAGAGGAAGCTAGTGCTTGCGTAACCAGCCCACGTGCACAAATAATTGATTTACAACTGATAACAAACATATTTGTCGGATAAAACTTACATTAGCAATCTCAGAAAATAGGGTACAATAAATGCGAGAAAATAAGGACAATGACATTCACATTACAACCAATGTAATAAATATTACACCTTTCCCTGAACACGTTGATACACTGCCTGCATCATGAATTGAAAACAAAGACAAGAATTGTCATTTATTCAGATGGTACTCTTAAAACTTCTTGCAACCGTATGCAGCATTACTCGGCCACTTAAAATTGTTAACTTACAAGCAACAAATTCAGCGGAAAACTCTTTGTCGCATATAAGAAAGAAGAAATCATTATTCATCACTTTACTTAACAAACCCAAATCAGGAATCCTTCATAGTCTGAACTTTAAAATATAAGGATGTGAGTAGCACCTAATAAACTTTCAGAGCTTCACAAAGGGAAATGCTATGGTAAGCCAGGATGATTTGTCAAGCATTCACTGAGCATTGAAAATTCAACTAAACATAGCCAGAAACCTTAAATGTAAAAAAAAAAAATTGGGAACGAGAGTAATGCCCCTTCCGAAAAGTTAAACTTAAGCTAGCCACACAACATTGACAGAATTGCCCCTTCCCCAATTCAGGAATAAAATTCGTATTAGAAGCTAAGGTTACTCGATCCCACTTTCTTTTGCAGCCATAGGGATTAGGACGAATGGAATAACTTTCTATTTCCACATTAACAGAAAAAAAAAATGGAACCACGTGAGTTTCATTTTTCATATCCAGTAAGAAACAGGAATCAAGAATCGGAATTGGAAAGCGAAAATGTGTAGAGAGAGAGAGAGAGAGGAAGATCGAACCTGAAGAGTTCTGGAAGGTTCATTGGAGGGAGAGAGGGAGGCGGAGAGGCAGTCGGCGACGGCGCGGCGCAATGGTTCCGGCAGCTTCTTGACGGAGGAGGATCTCAACCTGGAGACGCCGATTAACGGCGGGCGAGAGGGACTGAAGCTGGAAGACATTGGATTGGTTTGGATTGGATTCGAAATCAGAAGCAGCAGAAGAAGCAAATCTGGAATGGAAGGAAGCGAGTTTCGAAGGTCTCACACATTTGAACAATTCAAGAATCGGAGGAGAGATTGAAGAGAAGAGTAGCAGTGTGTTAGTGATTTTCGGTTTGAGATTTGAGAAAAAGGGGAAATTCTTAATTTTCGCGAGTGTTGTATTAGCTATACGTAGCGCCGTAGTTTTATGAACACAACACTTGTAACTGAGCTGGCATGCGCTAAACAAACCATTTTTCTAATTTTAATAATAATCCCAATTTCTGTTTCAAATCTCTCCTTTCTAGGGTTTTTTATTTTTTCTATTTTCTCTCTCATGCACTCATTAATCTTTCCTTTCCATGTGTGGAAGTTATCGATGGATGTCCCAGTTACTTCACATTCGGCTGAGATTATTTTTAAGAAATCATCATTTTAAAAATTAGAAAAATAAAATAATTTAAACATGTACTCATAATTTTATTCAGATGGTATTTTTCTAATCACTCATCAAAATTCATATATTAATCATAAATAAGGGCACGTTGATAAAAAATTATAAACAAATTATAATAATAGTTCATAACTTTCATAAGATATTTATCACATAAGTCATATTTTGAAAAGATATTGTTGAATACATGCTGAGAGTCACACTAAATTCATATAAATAATATGCTTTGAGTTAGTTTTATTTTATAACTCAATTCAAGTATGCATAATCTTAATTGAAATAAAACTTCAAATACAATAACTGATGTTTATACCTTACTAATGCTTTAGGATGTATTCACTAGAATTTTTATTTATTTATTTATTAGTCAAGAGTAACACATTTACTCCATTCAACTAAAATAACAAAAGCTTGTCAAATGTAACCGTTACATGTAGTATTATTTCAAAAGGCCCAACATCGCTTAAAAAGCTACGTTACACAGTAAATATCACTGAACTGAGGTGTTGGACTTGATAGAGCCCAACAAAATAAAAAATTAACAGGCCCAATTAAAGGCGCGAGGAAATGTTTCTCTCGGAAGTGTCTTCCACGGCTTGAATCACACGGCCCAAAAAGCGCTTCCGATTTTTGGCGTACACGTGTCCATCCCATCCTCTCTTCACCAAATCAGCGCCTAAAGCCAGCGCAGCCTCAACAGTCTGGTCGGCGGTGTCGTGAGCCGAGTCGATGACGCCGAGCCGAAGCGCCTCCTTAGCCGTGAGCTTAGCTGCCTGCATGACGATCTGGCGCCGAGCCGCGGGGGAGCCGACCTTGGCGTCGATGATTGCGACGAACCACGAGGGAATTACGAAGTTGATATCGAGCTCGCTCATGTAGAGGAATCCTCTATCGCTGCGCATGAGGACGTAGTCGTGAGCGAGGGCGAGGGTGTAACCGGCGGCGGAGGCGTGGCCCGTGACGGCGGCGATGGTAGGCATGGGGAGGGAGAGGAGATCGGAGACGATTGAGCGGAGGAGAGAGTCCATGAGGATCATGCGGTCAGTGCAGGATTGAGCCCAGGCGACGTCATAGCCGTTGGAGAAGAATTTGCCGTGGGCGGTGGTGATGAGGACGGAGGAGGCGGTGGCTTCTTGGCGGAGGCGGCGGAGGGAGGATTGAATGGAATTGAGGAGCGTAGGGTTAAGACGGTGTTCGTCATCGCCGGTGAGTGTTAGAATGAAGATGTTGCCTCTTTTCTCCAAGGTGCACATCTTCCAATGGTTAAGTCAACTCTTATTATCAACGTTTAATTTTTCTACTAACATGATCACAATGTAGCTTCACATTTGGAAGTACACTCCACCACCTTTTTTTATACAATATACAAATTAATAAGAGGTCAAAGTAAAAAAAAAAAAAAAAAAAAAGAGTGTCATGGAAAATTTTATTAAATTTTAACAAGTATAAATGTTATTAATTCTAAAATTTATTTAGACAAAAAATACTCACAATATTTTCTCAACGCATATTTTATTTATTTTTTATGATTAGCCGTTTTTTCAAAGTTAAAATAATTTTTAAATTATTATTAATTTATAAAATAAGTATTTTGACTTTTGAAAAAATGTACGAGTCATATAAGATACTTTTAAATTGTTAACCTTTGTCTTTGTTTGAATGATTGAATACGACAACATTGGCGACTTGTAAATAAAATAAAATATTCATATTATTATTTGAATTTTTATAATAAAATAAAATATTTTTTATTTTATCGGTGAAATTAATGAAAATAACTTTACATTAATTTAGTTTTATAGGATATGAAGGTCTATTTTCACTTGAATTTATAAAGTAAAAAGTAAAATTTTGTAACCATATTTCATAAAAAAAATGAATTTTGTTGTAGTGTAGTTGTAAAAAAAATTATATTATCAATCATTGTATCATTAACTGTTGATTTTCATAATAACAATTTTAAAAGATATATTGCTTAATTATTAACATTGTAAAAATTTTATCTCAATAATACATCACAGTTAAACTTAAAATATTCACAAAATTTGTTAAAAAAAAAAAAAAAAAAAACTGTAATGGCATGTAGACATCACGAGATGATTTACCGTGTTAATCTTTTTACTCTTGTTAATAGAAAAGTTTTGTGTTATACCTTAGAACCTTGAGTTTTCAATGTTAATAGAAAATTTTTGCCTTAAAACATATTATACGTATTTATCTGAGTGTTAATATTTCGTTGTGAAATTTCATCTTCAATCACCAATATTTTAAATTTTAAGCAATTTTTTTTCAAAATTATACCAGTGACTTTAATTTTTAATATTAAATAAAGAATATCTTCATATGTTTTAAATTATTTATATAGCTTATATTAATATCTTCATATTTTTATGTTATTTAATTATTTTTAAAAAATCAAAATAAAAATATTTTTTAGAAAAAATACTATTTATTAAATAATATTATTTACAGTACCAATAAAAGCTTAACCGTCATGAAAACTATTTAGGATCTCTCTTTTTCTTTTGATTATTATTAAAATGTCTAACTGTTATTCAAAATTGTTTCAAAGTATTTTTGAAAATAAAGAGTCCAGAAAGATTAACTTCTCTTATTTTTTTTCTATTTTTTTTTACTTCAAGACACTTACATATTTCAAGATCGTAATAAGAAGAGTCCACAAAAATTCAGAGTTGAGTTTTGTTTGCTGTTTCAAGAACCAAATCTTAAGATGTATGTCTTACATTTTTAATTTAACCACTTGGATTTTGGTATAGCAAACGATAAAATTTAATTAGAACGATTAATGACTGCTGAGCGTTAAGACTGTGCCGTGTGAACAAGCTAGTCATAATTATCAATAAAAAAAATGTTATTCTTTTCCTTTTTTAAATAAAAATTTATATTATTTAAAAAAATGTAAAAGTTGCATTTTGTATAGAGTTATAATTTTTATAAGTTATCATATATTTTTAATTAAATTTTATTAAATGTTATTTATGATTTTAAGATTACTTTGCTTATTCATGATGTTATATATATATATATATATATATATATATAATGTTTTAGATTTTAAATAAAATTTTATGTTTTATGTTATGATTCTTTAATTTATGAATGATTTATATAGTTATAATTTTTTTTTTGTCATCATAGTTGATGTAACTTAAATATTTATACTATATTTTATTTTATTAGTTATAAAATGGAGTATTTAATTATAAAATATAAATATTTATTATTTTCTATGATTTACAGTTCAAAAGATAGGTTACTATTCAAATCATGATTTAATTAACATGTATTAGGCTCATGCTGTATTTTTTCCTAGACTTCATCCTTTATCTAATTTCATTTGAATATCATGACAGAAAAATGTGAAAATAGACTTGACCATGACAACTTACTCATGCGTGGCAATATAGTAAAAACAACATTACTAAGTGAATAATCTACAATAATGAAGACAACAACACCAAGCCTTTCTTTGTTGTTTTCAACAACAATGAAAAGCTGATCGGTGATGTTGCAAAGAGCCAAACTGGAATTATCATAACACTATTTTTGGTAAAATTTATTTCTCTATAGTCTCGTTTAAAAAAATGCAATTTGTAGACTTTTGAGAAGACAAACGAGTGACCATAATTCTTGAAACCTTTGAAGATCCTAAGAAGTTGATTGGTAGGTGTATTTCTTCTTAGACTTCATCCTTTATCTAGTTTTATTTGAAGATTATGGCGGAAAAATGCACAGTGGGAATAGACTTGACCATGACAACTTACTCATGACAATATGGTAAGAGCAACATTACCGAGTAGAGATAATTGGACTATTGAAGTGACCAAAATTCTTAATTAATCTTTTTATTTTTGTGACCACAATTTATGTAGCGTGTCTATTTAAAATATATAATATTATATTTGCATAGGTTTTACCAACTCTTAGCAACACATGACAGTTGGTGAGTACAAAGGTTGGGAGAAACACATTTCACTTGAGGAAATATCATCTATGATCCTCACAAAGATGCAGGAGATTACATAGGCATATATGGAAATTCCTGTAAAGAATGAAGTTGTTAATATGCCTACTTATTTTAGTGATTCTTAGTAGATTACGGTGTCCATAACCTAGATTCTCAATGGGACAAATCTAGAGATTAATGAATTGTATTTTTGTGACAGCAGAAAGACTTAGTCACTGTATAATTTTAGGCATTTTTCATCGCAAATCTAGAGATTAAGCCCATATTATATCTCACATAAATCAATATTAAGTATCCAAAAGACATAAGTAATTGATCACATTATTAATGGACTTAAGCATTATTAAATATATCACAATATTAGCCCATTTTTTGACAAAATAACAAAATCATAATTGATTGTAACTCATAATAATTTTTATAGAAAATTCAAACATTTTTCCACTTGAGAGAAATCAATTGAGTAGTTCATATCTTTTGAAAATTTGAAAAATGACTATTGAGCTAATAACACGTGACCACAAACATATGATATCAAGATATAACACTTAATTAAGAGTATATTTAACAAAATAATGTAATATTGAATTATGACGACAATTATATCTCTTATTGACGCAACTTCTTCTATAGTTACAAATACTACTAACTTTATCGACTATTAATCGATGTGTAGTGTAACGAAAGAATAATATGTTAATATGATCAAACAGGATAGTGTAACAAAAAAATGATATATTAATATGATCAAACAGTCATAGTATCGTTTTTCACCCCAGTCTCTAATTTCTCTCAAATGTTTAAAAACTAAAGAAATTACATAATTGATTACAAACTATTATAACTCAACTCCTTATTAGATGCTTAATTTCTTTGTTTGTATTATTGAATAGGATAACAAGGGCAACTCGAAAATAGAATAAAATATTCATATCATTTTTTGAATTTTTATAATAGAATAAAGTATTTATTATTTTATTTGTGGAATTGATTAAAGTAACTTTTACCAAAAAATCAATTTTGTAGTATATGAAGGCCGATTTTCACCTAAATATATAAAGTAAAAAAATTGTAACCATTTTTCATAAAAAATGAATTTTATTGTAATATACTTGTAAAAAATTTTATATTGTCATGTATTTGGTAATTTTTATAATAATTATTTTAAACGATATATTTACATTTTTTAATTAATATTGTAAAATTTTTATCTCGATAATATATCAAAGTTAAAAGATTCACAAAATTTGTTAAAATAAATGAAAACAAATTGTAATAGCATGTAAACATCACATGGGAGGATTTATCGTGTTAGCCTTTTTACTCCTTTTAATAGAAAAGTTTTGTATTAAAACATATTGTATATGACTCTCTCTGTGTTAATATTTCATTATGAAATCTCGTCTTCAATCACCAATATTTTAAAATGAAAAAATACCCTCGACTAGAAGATACTCATTGAATAAAAGAAGAGCCTCAAGGGATGAAGAAGAGTAGGAAATCCAGTTCGTTGGTATTGAATTCAAGGCATCTAAATTTGCCAAAGAAAGTTATCCTCTGGCCTAGGTGTTGAACAAGAAACCAAAGTACTGAAATTTTTTCACTAAAACCAAATAAAAAGAACATAAGATAATTTACAAAATGCAAATATTACATGATTGTCGTTAACTAGATACCCCTGATAACTAGGCCATATTTAAACACTAAACCAAGTTGAGATTAAACATAAAGGGAAGGCATTAAAAGGCAAACTGCACTAATAGTACTTCACTGCTTCTCATCTGATACATTACCACCCCATCAAAGTTCTTCTAACTTTGTCCACAATCTTACTTCTTGCTTGGCTTCTGTTCAATGGAAATTCACGGCTTTCATCCAACAAAAATCTATACACTTCCCATTGGCGTTCTTGTGTTGAATGTCTAACAACTTCAGCCTACAGTAAGATATTAAGTGAAAAAGATATTTTATTTATAAGGTTTCTTCAAAGAACATCCAAAATTTTTAACAAAAGCTTTAATTTAAAAACTTACTGAGAAAATGAACACTCCCAATGCTTTTAAAGCCAATGTAACATCATAGAATACACGGGGCCTTCCCTTTCCACTCAGCTCTACAGGATTGGCTACTAAAAGTTCAGTATCTGGACCGCGGTTCACTATAATCACCCGCAATGGATGAAGCATCTCTTCTTTTAAGCAAGAACACAAAGTTTTCTGACTTTCAGGATCTATGATCTTTTTCCCATCTTTTTGCTGGATAAATAAGTCTATGTTTTGAAAGCCTTTCACACCAGAAGAGAATCGACCAAAAGCAACCTGATTGAGCAAGATGTAATGATTAATAAATACACTAATTCCAAAGAAGAATTTATCTAAATAAAAATATATGGTAGAAATTGTATGTGAAAAATGAATCCAAGAATGATTGAGCAGATTGAAATCAATAGATAATAAGAGATTAAAAGAAAAAAACAGCTCAGAAAATGTGAGAACAAAATTCAAAGCAAGTTATTTGTTTCTCTTTAATAATTATGAATAGTTGTCAAGAGTGACAAAGCTAAGACCGAAAGCAAAGCAATGGGAATGAAAAAAAAAAACATTTAATTCAAATGGAAGTAAAACTGTGAAAGGCATGGGAATAATCAAGTCCAAACTGAGAAGTAATTACTGTCAGACTCAGACTTTACCACCAAGTTTCAAATTGTTTACTCTCTGTTTTACTTCCTTTGATTCAGTTTGATGTAAGTATGGTTCACTAGGGGAAAAGCAAAAGGCCACTTGCATGCATAAATGACAAGGTGATAATAACTCAGGACAGAGTACCTTAATATCAGAGTCCTTAGAAATCCTCATAATGTCGTAACACAAGCCTTTCTGGTCAACACACTGTATCTGAAGCAGGGTATGAGCCGGGCTCAATGAGTTATCCACCATAACGGTAGGTGTCTTCAGTGTTGTCATATCTTGGCTGAGAGGATGCAAAGAAACTTTGTCTAACAGTTCAGCACTAAATAATTCTTCAGCAAAAGCTGGTGGAAGAGAAGAAAACCCCTGCAACTGTCTGTATTCAGGCCCAGCCAACTGAAGTTCACTGGAGATACACCTCTCTCCTAAAGCATCCATCACATAATTACATACATAATCTTGCCTCTTTTTTGTGTGGAGCAATTCCCTGTTTCCATTGTTAAAAAAATCACAAAATATCACATAATAGCATATGCCGCTAGCTACCTACAAAATGCTGGTGCAGACAGATGATTACCTTGTATTATTCCATCCAAATCAAGATTTCTATCATTTGGAATTATCTTTACCAGAATTAAAGTGAAACATGAAATAATTGAGCATATGCAATGATTTAAGGGGGCAAAACAACGAGTCAATGACAATTGGCAAGGCATGCATATATTCTGTGACGCTGTAATTGGCCTTTCTGGTTGTGAAAAATCCAAACCATATCAACAAATATAAGTTTTATTGCTGACTTTAATGTCTAGCTCGGCTCATTTTAAATTAGAGCATAAATATCAATATCTCCTGAGTTTTCAAACCATACTGTCCTTAATCCTTTTACCAGCAACATATTATTGAATCAATCAAGTGCAGCAACAATATTATGACCAGAATTATTCTATTCCTTTAGCATCATATTCTTGAATCTCGACTCACATGATTCAATCCGAGGTGTCAACTAGCAGTTGTACCGTAAATTCATTCAGTGATCAACTCCATTTCTCACATCCCCAGATCATCACATACCAGATGGTATTGCAAATAGAGAGATAAGATAAAAAAAAAAGGCTAATTTGTCGTCCAAACATGTTGATCTTAAAAAGCCACGCATATTATTTACATATTCAGAAGATAAAGAGGAACTAACGCCTAACCCATAGGAATATTATCACAAATTCTGATCCTAATTTTACTTTCGTTCGTATATGAATCAAAGACTAATCTTCCAAACAAGCTTCATATTGACTTCAGACTTTCAAGACATATGATGTAGAAAACTCTAAATAGATTGAACGGAGTAAAGAAAAACATCCATCAGATGCTAAATACAAGCTGAATCTTACGATGTATGAGCAAGAAATTAATACTTACACGCCATCGGTGATAAAGAACATGTCTAATACCCTGCCATCTGGGGTTGGCATCGCTTTCACTCTCTGAATAGTAAGTTGAAGGTTACATAGGATTTCATTAATATCTACAAAGGGAGAAAACAAAGAGTAAAAAAATGTATTCCACGTGAGGTAGTAACCAAAAGAGAGAACAAAACAGTAGTAACAGGCAAGTGCTAATAACAAAACTAGTTACTTAGTAGTTACCATGTAGCAACCCTTTTTGATCAACACACCAAACCTTCAACAGATAAATCGGAGGCAGTGAAGGACTTGTAGACTGTTTATTGAAGTGATAGGAAAATAAACATGAAGGACAAGCTGAAAGTAGCCGAGTCTTCAAGCTTTCCCAATCAACTTTGAGCGATGCAGGATGTGGAACAACCCAATACACGATGTAGCACCATCTTCCATCCGTTGAAATATCTACATCACCATCCACAGCCACAACAAAAACAACATCATCAAAACACGCCTCCAAATAATGAACGAACTAAACTTGAAAAACTATGTAATTCTGCACCACAGAGAATTTTTATTTTTTTTTTTAAAAGACGCTTTTTTGGACAATGCAAAAAAGGGTCATGAAAAAACAAATTTTGCAAGTAAAATGAGGAAGAGAAAAGAGAGAGAGAGAGAGAGAGCACATCTAAGAGTAAAATGGATAAATATTTGACTTTTATTGAAAAAAGAAGAAACCCAGATGGAAAAAGTGAGATACCAGCTCTGGTAATGCGGAGACCGAATTCGAGGATGATTCTGCAAAGATCACAGCCAAGACCAGCCTTGTCGGGGCAATTGACGGTGACGATGGAGGACTCCTTGGGGTCCTTCCCCTGTTGGATCACAACGACGTCGTCCCATGGTATACCCATCACTGAGAAGTGTTGGGTTCAGAGGACTATTGCCACCGGAAACCGCATTGCCGGAGCTCAAAATGGTGGCTCCGGCCTTCGGGGTTGGTGAGGTACAAAACTTGAATGAAATCTATGAAAGTGTGTGAATTTGCATTGCATATATAGATAAGGTAAAATATATGTACCTGTAATTGTTTTTTGTTTTCTATTTTCCGTTTTATGCGATAATTATAAAGACCTTTGTCGACATTAATGGAAATTACATTAAGACTCGATTAATTTTAAAATACGTGTTTAATTTATTTACATAGCTTTTTTGTTATTTTTAAAAATATTGTATATAATTTGTATGAAAAAAGTCTTTTAAAGATAAACGTGTCATATTTTAGATAATTTAAAATATCTAAATTATCAAATTAACGCTTCAAACGTTTACATCTTCGCAACAGTTAATTTTTTAAAATTTATGTCACAAAATTAAAATTTTTTGTCATTTTTTTTGTTACATGAATATTAATTTAGTAAGAATTTAATTTGTCATTGAGTTAAATTTTTGCTACACTTTGATTCTTTTTAAGAATTATTATAGTAATATTTTAAATATTAAAAACTAATTTTAAAAATTAATATGGTAACTATCCAGATCTTGAAATAAATGATCTGATAATCTAAAGCTTAATAATAAATGTCTTAAATTTGTCACTTAACAATGAATGACGTACTCGGCGTTTTAATTTTAATGCAAGTGCTTGGTTTTTCCCCCCAACTAAATTAACAGAATTAATTATCATTTTAAATAATCTTGATACTATAATTAAACAAAAAGGCAATAATGTTACGTAAAATATATTTTTCTGATGAGTATGTTACGAAATTAATCCTTAAAATGTTATCAAAATAACACTTGGAAAGATAAATTTAATATTTACTTTATATCGATTTAGTTAACAGCATGAACAATTAATAAAATAAAACCAGTATTAACTTATCAATACACTGAGAGCGAAACATTTTTTTATATATGAATTTTTTTAAAAAAATTCAAAAAATATGAAATTTTTACAAAATTACAGAAATATGATTTTTTTTAAAAAATCGTCATTAGTAATTTTTAGTCAAAAATTACTATTGACGACTTTTAATATACTTTTTAAATATTTAATTATTTTTTAAAAATTATCATTAGTGACTTTTAATTTTTTTTAATATTTTTTTTATAAAATCACTATTGACGACTTTTAAACTTTTATTACTGTTGTATTTTTTTTATTTCTAAATATTTGTATTGCATTAAAAATTGTCAATAATAATTTTTGAATTCTATATTCTTGTAATTTTGTAAAAAATCTATATTTTTGTATTTTAAAAAATAAAAATCATATGAAAAAAAGTAGCTCACTGAGAGTTCGTATTATTTTTAATATTTTAAATGAAAAAAAAGAAGTTAAACTTTTATTATGTGGTATTTAAAATAATATATACCAAGCAAAAAGTTACAAAAATATGAAAATTCAAAATTTTGATAATTTTTTATAAAATGTGAGATTTTATTTGAAGTTAAAAAAATGAAATTAAATAGTTTTATTTTAAAAGTGACTAAATATCATAATTTTATACTTTTTAATCTCTTATTTTAATATACAATATTTTTAAAATTCATATTTAAATTAATTTGCTTATAAGTTGGCTCACACGTACCTAAGAACAAAAAGCAGAGTCATATAAAGAAAAGAGTAAATTTTACTATATTATTTGAGATGAGAGATATTTTATGTTATGTTACATAATAGAGTTAGTAACAAAGACGAAAAGTATTTTATATTCTGTTACATAACGTAATTAGTAATTTATTTAAAATAAATAAATATTCTTAATTTTTATAATATTAAAGAAATTGCATTTAGAGAGATTACATAACGCTCTGTCAATTTTAAAAATTCTTGAAAACACAAGAAATTAATACTTTTTACTTAATCCTGTGAAAAAACTATAAAAACACTATTTAACATTCATTGAGTTTTTTAGTTTTTGGTCATAACTTTTCTTTTATATTTTATATATACACTGTTTATGTGGTATTTTTATTGGTGGAGAGTGGAATTTGGCAGCACATTTGTAGTGTTCAGTGGGCCTAAAGTTGAGAGGTTTTCATGTCATGTCCACCTCACCTCAGTACACTGTCTGGCCACATTTTTTATTTCATTTATTGTTTTTTTTTAGGTGATTTTTTCTCCCAAAAATTAGTTTGAAAAGTAAAAACTATTAAACTAGCTCATTTTATTGAAAGTTGTAAAAATTATATAGTCTCACTTTTTTTATTCTTAAATTATTGTTCTTTTTTTATTTTTTTATTTTTTAATAAATGATGTATTAGAGAAAGTATATTACTTTCATTTCTCGAAACATTTTCAATTGCTAATTGAATACTTGCATCCCACTGCTAAGAAAAAAATAACCACATTTAAGCACCATAAATACTTTTCCCAAAAGTGCCAAAAAAAATCAGCACAAGTCAATAATCAAATGATAAAGTGTACGTGTCATTATCAACAACGTGATAAAAGAAAAACACAAATAAAAACAATAAAAAAGACAGAGAAAAACTTATAACAACTGCATAATTGAATTAGTACAAAACTGCATAAATAATTTTATTTTTATATGACAGAAAATTTATATATACCAGTTGTTATTACTATTAGTAGTACATGCAATGAATTTACTGTGATATTAGTTGCCCAACACAAACCTTGAAGTGGCCTTAATGATGTTTAACTTTTACGTCATGGAGAGCTAAAATTGCAACTTGTGTGCCCATTAAAAGAAAATAAAAGAAAACATCACATAGTAATTAGATATTTGTCGCATTGTTTTGTTCAAAAAAGTAATATAGAAACGGAAATAATTGATAATATGAAATTAATATATTATCCAACTTATTAATTTATAGTTTAAACGAAGCTGAGGTTATCATTAGGGTTGCCAAATAATAATTGACCAACTTGGTCTATTAAGAGAACAATTTGATTGCAAAAAGACAAATCATTGAAAATGATAATTTGTCTCCTTGAAAACGAGAGATATATGCTTAACCTATTGCATTTCAGTGATCCTTACACAATCAAGCTGGATGTTGACTAGCCATAATTCAACCTAATCAAGTTTAACTCTATCATAAATCCACTTGACTAAGATTACCACAAATGCTACCAACCATCTTCAATTTGATCACAATTTTCTAAAAGAGCATTACAAAAAATTGGAAGTGTTTATTGGCTCAATCAACAAAATTTTATAAAAGAAGTTCAAAGTGTTTATTTACTTAATCAACAAAATTTTCACATTTAATATTCAGCAAATTAATAAATTATAACTCATAAAATATAAGTTAAATTAAATACTCAAATTAAATATAAGAATTTTTAAACTTATATTAATGTAAAAATATTAGCTCATTTTAAAAAAAAGATAAACAATATAATATTATATATACGTTATTTCAAAACGTTGAACAATGTACTCAAAACAATTCTTATAAAGAAAGAGGAGTTTCCACACATGCATGAAACTGAATTTTTAAAAGTTTTATCCTATATTTATTTTCGATAAAATTAATAATTTGTTTTTATTTAAATTTGATCTCCCAAAATAAAGTTCAAGAAGCAAAATAAAGGTTTTGTTTTTCCTTCATCTTATAATGTGGTCCAGGCCGGCATTTAAAATGGGCTAAGCCCAATTTTCAGTGGGCCCGAAAACGTGGGGCACATCGCTAACTGCAGGAACAAGAAAACAACAAACGTAATAAGAACAAAACCCGGTTCTGGTTTCTCGGTTTTTTCAGTGAAAGAAACACATGACATAGAAGGATGAAGAGATCGTCTTCTCGAACTCGTTGCTATAGGTAATGAGAACCGATCCACGTTTTTGGATTTTTCCTGTCTGATCCGATGCCATAAGGTAAGCGATCCTTCGCTTCAATCTTTTCTCTCGCTGTTCTTGATTTCAATTTTGAGTTCTAGGGCACGCGCTTCTTGTTTTTGCTTCTATTAATCATCGTCATGATTTCACCATCGATGATTTTTTTTTTAATTGAAAAAAAAGTGAATGTGGTTAATGTTCCTTCTCATGGGTTCGGTTTATGCCTCGATATCTAAGTTTCGATTCATCTCTTTCTTACAAATGATCGCATAGCGGAGTGGATATCGCGTTAGACTCCGGATCTAAAGGTCGTGGGTTCGAATCCCACTGCGATCGTTTCTTCTTTTAAAATTGTTGCTGTTGTAGGCAGTGTATTGAAATTTTATGATTTTTCCTCATTTTATGTTTTGTTATTACTTTTATGCTCATGGTTTGCTTTCATCGTGTTTGAAATTTCGTTTTTCCTTGATTCTTAGTATTTGATTTTTTTAAACTGCTAAGTGTTATCCATTTTGCATGTATTATTGTTAGTATTTGTTTGTTTGGTCACGTTTTTAGCTACGTGTTTTATTTTGAAATTTTATAATTTTTCCTCATTTTCGGTATTATTATTACTTTTATGCTTATGGTTTGCCTTCATTATGTCTTAAGTTTCGGTTTTACCTAATTCTCATTTAATTTTTTTTCGTTGAACTGCAAAGTTTTGTTCATTTTGCGTTTATTATTGTTATTAATTGTTTGGTTGTTCATATTTGTAGCTTTGTGTCTTAATTTAAGTAGCATGTGTAAGGACGATAGATTCCTGCTGCGGTACCATGGGTGCATTGTTAAATGCAAAGTTCTTAAGAAATTGGGCAAATTCCATTTCTTTAAAGACGTTGGTTGAAGAAATCAATTAATAGTAAATTTTTAGTAGAAATCACGTTAGGACTTATCATTAGAGCACTAGTTAGCATTTTCTTTACTTTTAATGTCTTTTTTTTGTACCCTGAAATGAATACATTATAGAGCTTAGGGATCTAGGTATACTTGGTTGAGATTTAATGCAAGTTATCAAACAAAATTAATGCACTTTGTTTATGTCAAGTTAATGTGAAGTTCATTGACTCAAAATCTGAGCGGAGCGAACTAATCTAAATTGTTGAAATTGGGCAATAATTTGTTTGCCTATACTTTCCTGTTAGATGCGGGGTATTTTCTCATCTTGTCTAGCAAACCTTCGATATACACTTTTATGCAAACTTGTGCAAGGATTCAAAATATAATTGATGTTTTCAATGATGATATATGCCCATGCATGTCATGTTTTTGGGTATTACACTTCAGATTATGTCTTGCCCAAGGATGTAGTGCTCTGTTTTATGCATTGACTGTTGTGGATTCTTGATGTATTTTTCTGCTCCAGCTTTTTTTTATCCTTTATATCTCTCTTCTTTTAAAGTTTTAATTATATAACAGATATATTGAATACTTTAGAATATATAATAACCCTCTAAAAAAATCTTGGGCATAACTATAATATCCCTTTATAGCTTTCCTTTTTCTATTCCTTCTGTAAAAGCCTAGCAAAGCGTCCAGAGCAAGAAGTAGAGGGAACAGAGATGGGAGGAGAAACAATTTTGTATTTCTTTTGGAGGTGGGAGGGGGTAATGGAAACTTTTCAAGGCAATAATCTAGTAGTGGTTGTGCTTAGTTGAGTACTGCTTTTTCAGCAGTTGATTATACGTTTTTCTTTTTTTTGTGTTGGCTGAGAATAAACCAATGCCAGAAGTGGTCAACAGGGATGAATTAGATGATGTTTGATTATGTCAAAAATGAAAACCAAAAAGAGTTGTGCAGAAATTTGAAGCAAATCGTTGATGAGTGCGGCATACAATCCTAGGCTCTTATGTTTCTTCATGAAATCATCAAGGTGAACTACAACCTGCTACCCACTCCTTTTCAACCATGCCACAATCACAATGTCCAACTTCTTCCGAGGACCATCTGCCATTTCATTGCTCCGCGATCCACAAAATGGAATTCCATGCACTACCTTGATCCCCTTGCGGTGGCTGCTACTCCCCATTGCGATCACCAAGGAAAAACAAAGTTTGATGTTGTACTTGAGGATTTGCCGAGGAGCACACCAAATGATGTGAGTAAAGGCTTGAGGATTGATGAGGCTGGCCTTGAAGGAAGCAAAGAGGTTAAAGGGTTGGCCAAGAAATTCAGAAACGGGGTAAGGAAGAGGTTAGGGATGTCAAGAAGCAGCTAGAAGACGCTGGAGCAAAGATTTCCATTGCTCTAGGTTTTGCTTTTGATTTCGTGAATTTTGTTTTTCATTTACTCTAGAGTAATTATGTTTAGTTGAAATTGTTGTTAAGTTGTAATGAAAAAGAGGGATTAAGCAATTTGTAGAAAAATGGATGACTAATGAGTAATATATTCCTTAAATAAATTTGTTTTATGCATGTTGTAATTTTGTTTGTTTGAAAATATACATGATGCCTTCTTTTGATTGAGACTTGAGAGCATAGCAATGATCTCTTCTTCCATGCGTCAGAGGCGAGTTGGTGTGCCGATTGGGAGAGAATGGGAGATACTGGTTTCTGGTAGAGGTTTTAGTCATTGTCCATTGTTGTAAAAGTCACACTAATAATGGTTAATATTCCTCAGTGCTTCCAATGTTCTCAAATTTCACGATAAAATTTTCTGATCATATTTAGTTTCAGCTTCGCAGCTTGTTTTTGCAAAATTATTATTTATAAAAAATTGATATTTGTTTAGGCATATAAATATAAATAAGTAAATAATAAGGAATCGATTATATATTAATTAATATGTGAAGAAATCCTCTTATTTTCGAATGTAAATATTTTAATTTATTATATGAAAGTTAAAATAAAAAATATAATAATCATATTTACTTTTAGATAAACTGTTAAGTTAAAATTATTTTATTATCTTTAATAGGCGAGGATAATATTTTTCAAAATTTAATTTATCATAATATCACTTTCTTTATAAATAATAACAAAACAGGTAGCCATTCCCGCTTAGTGGCTAACTTTTATATAGGAGTGCAATTTGAATTTGAATTTGAATTTTTAGGTAATTTCTCTTTAGAATTAATGTTCTATATGAATATTCACACACAACTTATTTAAATTTACATCCTTCAACGTAACTATGAAGTTCATTTTAATTAACTAAATAATATATTGCCTATGTACATGCATCTAATTATAATATTAGTCTTTTTTTTAATAATAATTATCTATCTATATCGATATATTTACATCAAATTTGCTGCAAATTAAAAAAATTCACTGTTCAATAAAAAATCTAATTATTTAAGTCTATTTTTTAAAATTAACTATTCCCTTAATTGATTTTAGATAATAAATTTTTGGCTAATCGAAATATATAAATTATAAAATTAAAAATTTAGAGCATATTTATTTGCATTTATGTAATTTTTTTTTTATAAAAAAACTCTTTTAAAAAATAAACATACTCTTAACGATTGTTATTTTTAGAGCAACTAGGCAATTTGAAATTTGTATTTATAAATAAATTACGATTGTGTATCCATCGATCCGAGTTGGCAGGTAAGGAAACCTCTGGAACCAACCAGAAGCGTAGTAGAGAAAAGAGGCGTTCCCACGCCATCTATCGTATCATCCCATTCCCACGGAACCAAGCGAACATTCTAGAACACTAAAACACCTCAACACGTATATAAAAACACCATTCTTTACACCCTAACCCAACGTAACCATTCTTTTCAGTCTTCTCTTATTCTCTGCGCCGCTGCGCTTCGCAAACCCAACCTAACAGTTCAGATCTCTCTTAGCTGTTGACTCCGATCTAACAATGGCCGGAAAAGGAGACGGTCCCGCTATCGGTATCGATCTCGGTACCACTTACTCTTGCGTCGGAGTGTGGCAGCATGACCGTGTTGAAATCATCGCCAACGACCAAGGTAACAGAACCACGCCCTCTTACGTAGGGTTCACCGATTCCGAGCGTTTGATCGGTGATGCCGCCAAGAACCAGGTCGCCATGAACCCCACCAACACTGTCTTTGGTAAGATCTGCATCCTCTTCGTCACTTCAGTACCGTTCTTTTTTTTTTCTTTAATTTATTGGATAGCAATTTGTCTTGAATGATATTAGTTTTCTGGATCTGTTGTTTGCTACTGGATTGACTCTATTTGATCGTAATGTATACTTCATAATTTTATTAATACTTTTCTTATTATTATTATTATTCAAATATTAAATATACTGTATTATTGCTCTTGTTCTCTGAAATCGCTTTGCCGGAACACACGCATTTTTGTTGAAATCTATCAGTTGAGTACTGTTATGTGATAGTTCAGCTATTTGAGAGTTATTTAGTCTCTTTTATAGATGGAATATAAATGTGTTAAAGTTCAGCACTATTATTATTACCATGGTTAGTTTGCTTATTGATTATTTGGATTTGTGATGGCAGATGCTAAGCGTTTGATCGGAAGGAGGTTTACTGATACTTCCGTACAGAGCGACATAAAGCTGTGGCCTTTTAAGGTGATTGCTGGACCTGGTGACAAGCCCATGATTGTGGTTAACTACAAGGGTGAGGAGAAGCAGTTTGCTGCTGAGGAGATTTCATCTATGGTCCTCATGAAGATGCGTGAGATAGCTGAGGCTTATCTCGGTTCCACCGTTAAGAATGCCGTTGTTACTGTTCCTGCTTACTTCAACGATTCCCAGCGTCAAGCCACAAAGGATGCTGGAGTCATTGCTGGTCTTAATGTCATGCGTATCATCAATGAACCTACTGCTGCTGCCATTGCTTATGGTCTTGACAAGAAGGCCACTAGCGTGGGTGAGAAGAACGTGTTGATCTTTGATCTTGGTGGTGGTACCTTTGATGTCTCTCTTCTCACCATTGAAGAGGGTATTTTTGAAGTTAAGGCCACTGCTGGAGATACCCATCTCGGAGGTGAAGACTTTGATAACAGAATGGTAAACCATTTTGTTCAGGAGTTCAAGAGGAAGCATAAGAAGGACATCAGTGGAAATCCTAGGGCTCTTAGGAGGTTGAGGACTGCCTGTGAAAGGGCTAAGAGGACTCTTTCATCCACTGCACAGACGACAATTGAGATTGATTCTCTTTACGAGGGTGTTGACTTCTACACCACAATCACTCGTGCCAGGTTTGAGGAGATGAACATGGATCTCTTCAGGAAGTGTATGGAGCCTGTTGAGAAGTGTTTGAGGGACGCCAAGATGGACAAGAGTACTGTCCATGATGTTGTCCTTGTTGGTGGATCTACAAGAATTCCTAAGGTGCAGCAGTTGTTGCAGGATTTCTTCAATGGCAAGGAGCTTTGCAAGAGCATCAACCCCGACGAGGCTGTTGCTTATGGAGCTGCTGTTCAGGCAGCTATATTGAGCGGTGAGGGTAACGAGAAAGTTCAAGATCTCTTGCTGCTGGATGTTACTCCACTTTCTCTTGGTTTGGAAACCGCTGGTGGTGTGATGACTGTCCTTATTCCAAGGAACACCACTATTCCTACCAAGAAGGAGCAAGTTTTCTCTACTTACTCGGACAACCAGCCTGGTGTCTTGATCCAGGTGTACGAAGGTGAAAGAGCTAGAACCAGGGACAACAACTTGTTGGGGAAATTTGAGCTCTCTGGCATTCCTCCAGCACCTAGGGGTGTTCCTCAGATCACTGTTTGCTTCGACATTGATGCCAATGGTATCTTGAATGTCTCTGCTGAGGACAAGACTACTGGCCAGAAGAACAAGATCACCATTACCAACGACAAGGGTAGACTCTCTAAGGAGGAGATTGAGAATATGGTCCAAGAGGCAGAGAAGTACAAGGCTGAGGATGAGGAGCACAAGAAGAAGGTAGATGCAAAGAATGCCTTGGAGAACTATGCTTACAACATGAGGAACACCATTAAAGATGAGAAGATTGGCTCCAAGCTTTCTGCTGACGACAAGAAGAAGATTGAAGATGCCATTGAAAATGCAATTCAGTGGTTGGATGGTAACCAGCTGGCTGAAGCGGATGAGTTTGAGGACAAGATGAAGGAGCTTGAGAGCCTTTGCAACCCAATCATTGCGAAGATGTACCAGGGTGGGGGTGCTCCTGACATGGCTGCAGGTATGGATGATGATGCTCCGCCATCTGGATCCAGTGGTGCTGGGCCCAAGATCGAAGAAGTTGATTAAATTTATTTGATGATTTAGGTGTGCTTGTGGATGGATCTATACTACATTTCAGGGCCCTTTCAGTTTTTTTTTTTTTACTTGTTTTAGAAGTTCGGCCGACATTTTGGTTTTGTTCGGGTATGGGCTATTGTCATCATTAATACTGTTCTCTTTGTTAAATAGTGACATCCAGGTGAACACCTGGAAGGGAAACTGTTTGAAATCTTTTGGCAAAGGAAACAATTTTTTAATGGCCAAATGCCGTTCCCGTTATTTTTCAAATTTGTTCATCGATAGATAATTTGTTTATCTTTGATATTTACAGCCACTGTTGTCGTGGGCTGATGATAATTAAATAGAAATGAGATCACACGGTACTATATTAGCAGTTGGACGGGACGGGAGTATATTTTGGGCAATTGCGGTCGACGACTAAAGCGTAGTCATTACGGAATGGCATAAGTCAAATTCACAATTTAGTTCCCTGTACAAGTCGTTGGCATAGCATTTGCCACCGTCTAGCTTTCATTCGCGAATTTCACATGTGAACCCTACATGGACGATTTTCCTACTGTGGTCCATATTTGTGTAATTGTGGCCGCTGAGGAAGTAATAAGTTATATGAATCAAAGTTTATTCAAGACCAACGTTGAACTGGCTGAGGCAATCTTTTGAATTAACAAGGGGTATGTTAGGGTCTATTTAATTCTCGTTTGGAAACACCATTAAAATGAATAGATTTTTCTAAAAGAAACTATGGTTTGTGTGCTTCGGAAACAAAAATATCAATTTTATGATTTATCCTCTATGTTATGAATATGGTTCGTCTGAGGTAAACGTTGATCTAGAGTAAGAAGACTTGGGCCTAGGAGGCCCAAAGAGAATAAGACCAATCAATGAGCACTACACTCAAACTAGATGTTAGGGAGATAAAAAAAAAAGTATTGACCCAGGTGTAACAAGCACTCCAATAATTGTAAACTAGCTTTACTTTTTGCTTCGTACAACTATTTTGAAGGGTCACTATATATATAAGAACTTGAACTGAGGACTGAGATCCTTTCGTACTTTATCTGACCGATTCCTCTAATTTAAGCTCAATAAACCTTTCTTTTTATTTTGCATTTTTATTGAATGTAACTAAAAAAAATAAAAATTAAGAAGACTCTTTGAGTCCTGAGTTGAGCATGGAAAAGGTTAAGAGCGCCTTATCTTTAACTGAGTGAAAAAATTTCAACTTATTATCACCGTGCCGCAATTTAACTTGATTCCTTCATGTCTATTTCTAATGGTTAAAGTCTATATGATTTAAGAAAATAATTTTAATTTTATTAATAACTCAAAAGTTCTCTTTGAAAAAAATGAAATTAATATCAATTTTTTTTATTATGTTTTATGTTTCCAAGTGTTTGTATAAAAATAATAAAAACAATGTAACATCTTCAATTTCGTCTTTTAAAATAAATAAATTTATAATGAATAAACAAAAATAGATAAAATGAAAAAATATTTTATTTTTTTCATGAATTTGATAATATCATTAAACAAAATTTATATTTTCTTCTCACGAAAGTTGCATAAAATTTTAAATTTGCTTAAGTATTTAGGCTCTAAAATTTAACGTTGAAATCATTTATAAACTTTGGTCAACACGAAATATAATTAGATAAAACAATATAATTTCTCAAATTATCACAGTCCCTATAGAGCAATCTTCTTTCCAATACCTTTGGATTATGATCTTAGGACAGGACAAACATCTTTATCTCTTCACATCCATTACCTGAAAATGTTACTTGAAAACATTTTAAAATGAAGATTGTATCTCTATTAGTAGAAACACAGCTAAAGGTGATGTGTTGAAAACTTATGAAGTGGAGAAAATGAAGTTAAAATTGCAATTGGCTCGTATTCCCAGGAGAGTTTGCTTGACTTTTGATGTTTGGACTGTATGCACCAATCATGGTTTCATTTCTTTAACAGCTCATTATGTTAATTCAACTTGGAATTTGAGTAATAAAATTTTGGCATTTGGTCACATGAAACCTCCACACACTGGACATGAATTGACATTGAAGGTATTGAAATTTTTGAAAGATTGGGGCATAGAAAAAAAAAGTCTTTTCTCTCACATTGGACAATGCATCTTCAAATGACATGTAAATTTTTTTGAAAGAGCATTTAATATTGTTTAATAATTTGTTACTTAATGGAGAGTTTTTTTCACATAAGATGTTGTGCTCACATCTTAAACCTAATAGTTCAAGATGGCTTGAAAGTAGCTCATGATGCATTACATAAAATTAGACAAAGTGTGAATTATGTAAGAGCATCGGAGGCAAGAACAAGACAATTTTTTCAATGTGTTGAAGATGTTGGTGGGATAAATACAACAATTGAGTTAAGACTGGATGTGATTACAAGATGGAACTCCACTTATATAATGCTTGAAAGTGCAACCAATTATCATTGTGCCTTTCACAGCTTAGCATTATATGATACTAATTATAGAAAATGGTGTCCTAATAATGATGAGTGAAGAAGGGAAGAATTGATATATCAATTTTTGTAGCCATTTTACAATATTACCAACTTATTCTCAGGTTCTTCTTACCCTACGTCAAATCTATATTTTGGAGAAATATGGAGGATTTAACATCTTTTGAATGTATATTTGACAAATGAAGATGAAAGAAAATTTGACAAGTATTGGAGTGAGTATAGTATAGTTTTGGCATTAGTAGCTATTCTTGATCCAACAAAAGAGCTTAATTTCTTGATTTTTACTTACTCCAAAATTGATCCAAACAACTGCGAAAAGAAAGTGGAGGAAGTTAAGATGAAGTTGTATAATCTTTATGTCGAGTATGTCAACATTAGAACTCATTTCAATATGGATCGTTCATCATCACAAGTATTATCTGAAAGTTCATCTCCATTGGGAGGAGTAGGAGGAGATAAAGGAAAGGCAATTGTTTCAAATTATTTATATAAGGTAAGTTGTAATATTCATTTGATATATTTTTACAATTATTATTTATATAAATATTCATTTGTTGTTCATTTGGTAGGAATTTGAAGAATTTGAGAGCACAAGAGCTATTAATACTGGAAAGTCTGAACTTAATATATACTTGGAAGAGCCAAGAGTTCCATCATCAGGTGTATTTGACATTTTATCTTATTGGAAGGAACGAAATTTCAGATGTCCTGATCTTGCAAGATTAGCTTGTGATATATTGAGCATTCATATAACCACTGTGGCATCAGAATCTGTAGTTAGCATTGGCTCTCGAGTGATAAATAAGTATAGAAGTTCAATAACTAATGAAACGGTTCAAGCTCTCTTGTGTACACGTAGTTGGTTATATGGCTTTGAAGGTATTTTTTCTTCTTTTTCTTAGAATACAAATTTGTCATATCTAAGATTTAAATTTACTTTATATAATTTACTAACATAGTTATTTTTTTTAGAATATGATAATGAAGATGATGTTAATGGAAAAGAGACCATTATTCTTAATGATTCCAAGCTTTCTCAAGAAGCTTCATGTTCTTAAATTTTGATATTTAAATCTTTGATGGACTTTTTTAATCTTTGGGAACTTGTTTTATATTTTTATGAACTTATTGTGTGTATGAACTTTTTATCTTAAGAAATTTGTTTAATTATGAACTTATTTATATTTTTGTGGACTTATTATGTGTTACAAAAATAGTGTAAAATGGTCTGTTACAAATACTAAAAACAACAATAAAAACAATGATCTATTGCTACAAAAATAGTAAAAAAACTGACATGTTACAAAAATAAGAAAAAGAAAAAAAAATATTCGAGTTGTCGGACCAGCCTGTAGAAGCCCATAGCCTGTATAGGGTAAGGCTTAGACAGTAAAAATATAAGTCCATTTTTATCTTGGGCTAATTAATCCTGACTCGTATCGGGCTGAGCTGGGCTGACCCGCCTGTTTTGATAGCTCTGCAGACAACTTAAGGGGCAATTTGATCGATGAAAAAGGCTAGAGATTGAGAGAACCGACGAGAGAGAGAAGAGAGGAAAGTGCGAATGCATTCTCCTAATCCTAAACTCTTTAAATACACAAGGTGTCGTGAAATTCTCGCTACAGTGAGATATTTACCTCGCTGCAACGGTACCCTCTCTCGCTACAACGAAAATCTCAGAGGAAACTGTACTTTAATTTTTGCAAAATCTCGCTATAGTAAGACTGCACCCAGAAATGCACCTTCCACTGTTGCTTTCTCGCTGCAGTGAGAGTTGCAACGAGAACGCAACAGTTTCACCCTTCTCTCTTAGTGCCTTCTCGCTACAGCAAGAACGACACAGTTTCATACTCTTCGCCCAAGGCTTTCTCGCTACAGTGAGAACTCCCTACAGTTCACCTTCAGTTTATATTTTCAACCAACTTCAGTCAATCCAAGTCAACACTTCCATACATTTATCTATATACACACGTTCACATCATCAGCATAAATCAAGATGTACACTTAATTAACAATACACAAACTTATATTAATAATCAATTTATTATCACCAAAATTCAGAGTGTTACAAATAACATGATTTTTTTTATTTCTTAAAAAAATATTAATTTTTTTTTGTAACTATTGACAAAATAATATTAGTTTTTCAAATCAATCAGGTCTTACAAGTACTCGACACAAACATTAGTTTGCTATTATGTTGAATATAATACTATTTGTTCAATGTTAATCAAAACTTACTTACTGATCCTTGTTACCAGTGTACCAACTAGTTCAACAAAGACAAATCTACACTCGGCGAAAGATGAGAAACGGTAAATATTTTAAAATAAGAAGCCTGCAAGATTAATTCCCTTCTCTTATCTTTGATAGAATGAGAAAGGGTAGCAATACAAATTTTAAATGCACTTTTTTATGTTTGGTTTATTTCTAGATAAATGCAAATAGTTATTACATAAAATATTCACATTTTAAATATTTTTTTGAGGTTTTAAAAAACAATCAATCACACAAAAGTATATTATTGCCGTCTTGATATAATTCATACACCCAGCAAGATCATTATATTATATTAATACATTCCATCAATTTAACTTAATTTTATATATTTTATTAGCAAGAAGAAGGTGGATATAGCAAATAATACGTAGGAAAACACTATGCAACATGAGAGGAACACGACAAAAGATGAGAAGATTGGCTCCAACCTTTCTCCTGATGACAACAATGAAGATGCTAATGAACATGCAATCAATTCAATGGGAGGCAAATGCATTATTCGAAAACAAGACGAAGGAGCTTTCATGCAAATTAATGGTGATAAGATAATCAATGCCAGGTTGGTATTGCTCCTAACATGGATGAAGCTGCTCCACCATCTAGATCCAGTGCTGCTGCCACAAACATCTATCAAACAAGTCCATTAGATATCGTTTGATGGATCACATTCTCTCTATATATAATTTTTAAATATTAGTTACACCTAAAAAATGTTATTATTTGGATCTACTAGTATTTGAAACAATAATGCTATTAACGCAGTCTATATAGTATATCTTTAATTAGAAAATTACTATTCAATACGAAATATTGCATGTTTTGTGGATTCGACTTAACATTGAGTAATATCCTCCTATCAAGGTTTTATAAGGGCTCCTGTTTTTTCGTATGCAACCATTAAAATATTTTAGGTTCCATTGGTCATTTTTATCATTCTTTTTTTTTTTCTTTGTTCAAAAGGTTGATACATTGAGAGGCTTAACTATATTAAATAAACAGAATATTACAACAATGTAAAATAA